AATTTGGGCTGTCCACTCAAGATTTTCATCAATAAAAACCCCTAGGAGCTTTTCGCCATTAACATCTCTTATGTGGGAGTTACCAACAGTCAAATTTAGAACATGGTCTGTTTTTGCTAGTTTCTGTCTAGAACCAATAACCATAGATGTAGTTTTTGTTGGATTTATATACATCTTATTTCCCTTGCACCATTCTTCAATTCTGTCTAAATCATTTGTAATGCTGTCCTGGATGGTATTGAGACTACGACCTGTGCAGTGAATGGTAGTATCATCTGCATAGAGGTCTGCTTGAGATGAGGTTATATGAAGGGGCAAATCATTAATGAACAATAAAAATAAAAGGGGGCCTAATATGGAGCCCTGAGGTACTCCAGATTTTATTTCTAGTGCCCTTGACTTGATTGTCCCATTTTCAACTTGTTGGAATCTATTAGATATGATTTAAACCAGTTACATGATAAATTTGAAATTTTGTAGCACTGCAGTTTTTGAAGAAGGATAATGTGATCTACCAGATCAAATGCTTTTTTTAAATCTAGGAAGATGATACCTATAATTTCTCCATCATCAATGGCTTTCAACCACTGATCAATAAGTTTTAGTAAAGCAGTGTGACAAGAGTGGTGGCTTCTAAATCCAGACTGACTTTTGCATGAAGGAGCTTATATTTTAATAGGTATCGGTATAGGTGTTTGCAGACATGCTTTTCAAAAATCTTTGAAAGAGTAGGCAAAATAGATATTGGTCTATAGTTGTCGACAGTATCTTTAGGACCCTTTTTATGACTTGGCATGACACGGGCATTTTTAAGCTCAGAAGGAAATATACCAGCAGTGATACTCCTATTTATAATATAAGCTATTGACGGTGAAATAACTTCTGATGATAGTTTAAGTATGCGAGGACTGATCTGATCAATGCCTGTAGCTTTTGCAACATTTAAATTGCTAAGGCAGTCCTTAACTTCTGCAACTGTAATTAAGGGGATGTAAAACCAAGTATCTTGAGGTACTTTTGCTGCTACCTCCTCATAAATCTTATTACTATCAAATTTGTATGATTTAGATGTTGATAGGCTATCTTTCAGGGCAATATTTATAAAATGTTTGTTAAAAGCATCAACTATATGCTGAGTTTCTGTGATAACACCAATGTGTGTCTTAAGTTGTGATGGAAAAGGAGAACTTTTATTTTGGTTGAGCCCCTTGACATATTTCCATAATTCTTTTGGATTTTTAGCCTGTTCAATAGATGTTTTATAAAAATTGTTTTTTGCATCATCTATAAGTGATGTGCTTTTGTTCCTCCAGTACCTGTATCTGTCTAGATCATGCTTTTTATGGTAATAATCCCTGTTTTGTCTGGCAGTTAATATTTCAGGGGTTAACCATTCTGGCCTTTGAATATTTTTGACTCGCTTTGTTTTTGTTGGAGCATGCTTATTTAAAACATTATTGAAAAGAAAATACCAGATATTTAAAGCTTTGTCTGTGCCATGTTCTTCTTTCACAGTATTAAATGGTTTACATTGAAGTTCTTTTATAAAATTCTCTTCATTAAACTTTTTAAAACATCTATAAGTTATGATCTTGTGGCTAGAATCAGGTATTTCTTTAACATTTGTTTTTCTTGTAAGGCATACTGGGTAATGGTCACTTAATGCCAAATAAGGTACATATGTTTCAATTATATTATCGGACTTATTTGTATATATATGGTCAATCATCTTTTTACTTTTATCTGTAACTCTTGTTGGATTATCAATAAGTTGTGTAAGACCATAGCACTGTATCATATGGGACCATTTGTTGTTACTACATCCTTGAGCATAGTCAATATTTATATCACCCATAATAATAATTTCTAAATCTAAGCTTGATGCTTTACTTATTTCTAATTCAAAAGCATCTATCCAGTCTACTTTCATATCAGGTGGTCTGTAAACTGAACACTAAAGAATAGGTTTTGTGGATGGAAAATTGATCTGAAGCCAAATTGATTCAACATTACCAATCTCTAAGTCTTCTCTCCTTTCATATGCCATTAAGTTGTTTATATAAACTAATACCCCCTATAACCGGAATAACCTTGTTTTCCCCCCCTTTTTTTGTCCCTAATTCCTGAACAGTTTTGGCTATAACCCCCAAAGTCAATCCTTACCTTCCCTTTGTAGTATGAAACCTTGTGGTACAATTTCATAGAGATCCATACACTTATACACAAGTTATTGTCCGGAAACTAGAAAAATGCCTATTTTGGGCCCTTTTTGACCCCTAATTCCTAAACAGTTGGGACCATAACCCCAAAATCAATCCCAACCTTCCTTTTGTGATATTGAACCTTACGGTTATATTTCATAGAGATCCATTCACTTATACTAAAGTTATTGTCTGGAAACCAAATGTCTTCGGACGACGACGACAGGACAGCAATATATGAACGCAAATTTTTTGCGGTCGTATAACAACATTTAGTTTTTTAAGAAAAATCTTTGCATTAGAAATAAGAGATTTGATGATTTTAAAACAAAATTAAAGAAGATTTTTAACCGATTTTATGTGCTTTCTATACAAATGTTCACTTATTTTTAAAAAATTCAACCAGTAAAATTTCAGACAATAAAAGAGATAAATGCCTTATTTTTTCAATTTTCATTTATGGTTCAAAATCTGTGACATAGCCCATTTACTGTTCCTTGACCTTAAGTATAAACACATATATAAGATGCAATAAAGAGTTGAATTCAGAAGTTTAATTTTAACTGGATATCATCCTGCTTAGACACAATGTATACAGGAAAAATCTTCTGTTCTTGTGTAGTACTTCTTGTACTGGATATGCATGTCTGCAATTGGTTTTTGAAGACCATGAAGAAATATTTTTGCCAACTTTCAAATCGCAAATTAAAGCAATGATAATATCACAGCTAAATGTTAAAGAATTCATATTAAGGGCTATACTTACTTTGATGATCTAAATATAACCATATTCATAATAGTTTACAAGATCATATCAAGTATACATGTACATAAAAAAAATATATGTGTGTTGAATGGAAAGTATGTGGACCAAAATCTGTCTTGTTTATAATTGGCTGGACCAATATCCTGTATACCCATTACAATTTAAAGATTATAAACAGAAATGAAAAATCAAATGGGTTAAAATTGTGATTAATATCCTGTAAGGAGATACTGATATCTATATCATTAACGGAAAGCTTAATACTAAAATATATGATAAAAGAGATGATTTTTCATTTCCTATCGTTAATTATCCATTTTTAGATGGTGACGTTCCCTTGTCACCATCTTACGGTGTTTATATATCTCAACTTGTACGATTCGCTCGTGTATGTAACAATGTTTTAGATTTTAACGAGAGAAATTTATGTATTACTGAAAAATTATTACACCAGGGTTTTCGATATCACAAACTAGTCAAAACATTTACTAAATTTTATCATCGGTATAAGGACATCATTCGTAAATATAGCTCAACATGCAGACTTCTTATACGTTCAGGTATTTCACATCCATTTTTTTATGGAAATATTCTTTATAAAGCACAAAAATGTCAGTATTCACCTCTGAAACTAACAAAACCTTTAAATAGACTTATTAAGAAGGGATATAGTTACGATACTGTTGTCAGGTCATTAAAGATTGCATATTTTGGCGTTAATATTGATTCACTTATAGGGTCTTTGCATCGGCACTAAACACATTTATTTAAAAACCAGTTGTTGGCATGACACGGGTTATGTTCTTCTCATATATGTTATGATGGTATGATACTAAAGCCCTAACGGGAAGGATTGTGCCTGATATTCATATGATGAAGACATAATCTTTCAATCAGTTTAATTGAAGTCTGGAGCTGGCATGTCAGTTAACTGCTAGTAGTCTGTTGTTATTTATGTATTATTGTCATTTTGTTTATTTTCTTTGGTTACATCTTCTGACATCAGACTCGGACTTCTCTTGAACTGAATTTTAATGTGCGTATTGTTATGCGTTTACTTTTCTACATTGGCTAGAGGTATAGGGGGAGGGTTGAGATCTCATAAACATGTTTAACCCCGCCGCATTTTTGCGCCTGTCCCAAGTCAGGAGCCTCTAGCCTTTGTTAGTCTTGTATTATTTTTAATTTTAGTTTCTTGTGTACAATTTGGAGTTTAGTATGGCATTCATTATCACTGAACTAGTATATATATTTGTTTAGGGGCCAGCTGAAGGACGCCTCCGGGTGCGGGAATTTCTCGCTGCATTGAAGACCTGTTGGTGGCCTTCTGCTGTTGTCTGTTCTGTGGTCGGTTTGTTGTCTCTTTGACACATTCCCCATTTCCATTCTCAATTTTATTTTATACTGTATAGACAATTTCATTCCCATTAACTTATTTGTAGATCTATCTTTCATTGTTGATTATTTCTGCTATTCAAAGTTTTGGTGTAAATGTTATAGTTTTGTAGATGTTAGGAGAAAACACAAAAAAGTTAAAATTCATCATTTAAGGGCAATAACTCCTGTAATTAGTTAGCTGACAATTTTGGTCACTGTTTCTTGTTTGCAGATCTAATTTTACTGATCATTTTTACAGTTTCTCTTTATTTATTATAAAAAAAAATTTATCTGTTTGAGATGATTGTCAAAAACACAAAAAATGAATAAAAATTGTCATTCGAAGGCAATTACTCCTGTAAGGGATCGAACAATTTCAGCTGCATTGACTTATTTATAGATCTAATTTTGCTGATTATTTTTGCTACTTAGAAATTCTCTTTATCTACTACAATTAAAATAAATGTTGATAGTGTCCACATGGGACACAGATGATGCCCCCGCTTGCATATCATATAGTTATAAAGGGACATAACTGAAGAACGGTAAAAGTGACGCTACCCAAATTTGAACTTGATCTGAGTTTTGTGGTAATAAGCATTGTGTGTAAGTCTCATAACATTTGGTTGAAGCTAACTTAAGTAGAGAACAGAAACTAAAAATTCAGCAATTTTTCTATTTGTAAACATGCATAACTCTAGAACAGTTGTGTTTATGTTTTATAACATTTGGTTGAGACAAACTAAAGTTAGAAAATGGAAACGAAAAATTCAGCACTTTTTATGTTTATAAAGGGACATAACTCAAGAATGGTAAAAGTGTCGCCACCAAATTTCCTCATTAATCTGTATTATGTAGTAATAAGCATTGTGTATAAGTTTCATAACATTTGGTTGAGGCAAACTAAAGTTAGACAAGAGTGCACACGCTGAAATGTCTCGCCTTCTTTACTAATCATTGATATTATGTTGATAGTCCTAAATATAAAGCTTTATTACAACTGTCACATAAACTTAACATTAACCAAGTAAACTAAACATTGACCAATGAACCATGAAAATGATGTCAAGGTCAGATGAACCATGCTAGGCAGGCATGTACAGCTAACAATTCTTCCATACAATAAATATAGTTGACCTATTGCTTATAGTTTAAGAAAAACAGACCAAAACACAAAAACTTAACACTGAGCAATGAACCTTGAATATGAGGTCAAGGTCAAATAAAACCTGCGTGACTAACATATAGATCATAAAATATTTCCATACACCAAATATAGTTGAACTATTGCATATAGTATTAGAAAAAAAGACCAAAACTCAAAAACTTAACTTTGACCACTGAACCATGAAAATGAGGTCAAGGTCAGATGACACCTGCCAGCTAGACATGTACACCTTACAATCATTCCATACACCAAATATAGTAGACCTATTGCATACAGTTTAGAAAAAAAGACCAAAACTCAAAAACTTAACTTTAACCACTGAGCCATGAAAATGAAGTCAATGTCAGATGACACCTGCCAGCTAGACATGTACACCTTACAATCATTGACCTATTGCATACAGTATAAGAAAAACAGACCAAAACACAAAAACTTAACTATAACCACTGAACCATGAAAATGAGGTCAAGGTCAGATGACACCTGCCAGCTAGACATGTATACCTTACAATCATTCCATACACCAAATATAGTAGACCTATTGCATACAGTATAAGAAAAACAGACCAAAACACAAAAACTTAACTATAACCACTGAACCATGAAAATGAGGTCAAGGTCAGATGACACCTGCCAGTTGGACATGTACACCTTACAGTCCTTCCATACACCGAATATACTAGACCTATTGCTTATAGTATCTGAGATATGGACTTGACCACCAAAACTTAACCTTGTTCACTGATCCATGAAATGAGGTCGAGGTCAAGTGAAAATTGTCTGACGGGCATGAGGACCTTGCAAGGTACGCACATACCAAATATACTTATCCTATTACTTATAATAAGAGAGAATTTAACATTACAAAAAAAATCTTAACTTTTTTTTCAAGTAGTCACTGAACCATGAAAATGAGGTCATGAAAATAAAGCTTTTAAGAAGTTAGCTAACGCCGCCCGCCGCTGCCGGATCACTATCCCTATGTCGAGCTTTCTGCGACAAAAGTCGCAGGCTCGACAAAAACTGAAACAAAAAATTTTGTACTTGATCTTAGTTTTGTGGTAATGAATATTGTGTACAGGTTTCATAATGTTTGGTTGGAGCAAACTTAAGTTACAGAATGGAAACTAAAAATTTTGCAATCTTTCGATTTATAAAGGGGCATAACTCAATAATGGTTAAAGTGACGCCACCAAAATTCAACTTGATCTGTGTTTTATTAGTGGAAGTCAAAATTAAACATTGCATTGTATAAAGCATTGATTGTAGTTGATTCAACTATAATCATGGACAAAGGAAGATAACTCCAATTTTAAAAATTACTTGATATTAAGAAGAAAATAAAAATTTTGCAATCTTTCGATTTATAAAGGGGCATAACTCAATAATGGTTAAAGTGACGCCACAGAAATTCAACTTGATCTGTGTTTTATTAGTGGAAGTCAAAATTAAACATTGCATTGTAAAAAGCATTGATTGTAGTTGATTCAACTATAATCATGGATTAAGGAAGATAATTCCAATTTTAAAAATTACTTGATATTTAGAAGAAAATAAAAATTTTGAAATTTTTCCATTTATAAAGAGGCACAACTCTAGAACGGTTAGAGTGACGCCACCAAAATTCAAAGTTGATCTGTGTTTTTTGGTAATAAGCATTGTGTATAAGTTTCATAACATTTGATTGAGGCAAACTCAAGTTAGAGAACAGAAACTAAAAATTTTGCAATTTTTCCATTTATAAAGGGGCATAACTCTAGAACGGTTAAAGTGACTCCACCAAAATTCAAACTTGATCTGTGTTTTGTGGTAATAAGCATTGTGTATAAGTTTTATAACATTTGGTTGAGGCGAACTCAAGTTAGAGAACGGAAACAATTTTGGGACGTATGTACAGACGGACAAGGGTAAAAACTTAATGCCCCACCGCTATGGCGGAGCCATAAAAATCGTCTGTTTAAGATGATAGTCAAAAACACAAAAAAAAAGATAAAAATTGTAATTCCAGGGCAATTACTCATGTAAGGGATCGAACAATTTCAGCCACATTGACTTATTTTTAGATCTAATTTTGCTGATTATTTTTGATACTTAGAAATTCTCTTTATCTTCTATAGTTTTGGAACTAAAATGCCAAAAAACAGGTAATAATCGTAATTCAGGGCCAAAAAATCTGATTTGGAGCTGGCGGATAATTTGGGCCATTTTGACTTATTTGTTTATCATATTGAGCTGTACATTTTTGCTATGAACAGTTTCTCTCTATCTATTATAGTTTTTGCAAAAACACAAAAATGGATAAAACTTGTCTTTCAAGGACAATTACTCCTATAAGGGGTCATTTGACTTATTCAGCTGCCATCAGACTTATTTGTAAAACTTGATTTGCTGATAATTTTTGCTGCTTACATTTTTGCTATATGTCTATAAAATTTGTATATTCTACTACAAATTCAAAATTGGGTAAAAATCATCTTTCAAGGGATATATCTACAATCAAGATAAACCAAAACCTGTGAAATTTGCTAAAAACAGATATTTCAGGTTAATTAACTCAAAATGGATTTTGCTCTAACTGCTTTCATTCAGCCAAAAACTGCAGTTTTAATCTAATGTTCTAACATACCAACTGTGTGTTGTCATATCACACAGATAATTCTGAATAAGTTCTCCTTGTCGTAGTTACAATCCCATCCTCTTTTCCTCATTTATGAGATCTTATTACTTGATGGTTACGAGAAAGGAGCTCAGCCACGGTTTTCATTGGATTCTGTGATTGCCAATAAGACAATTATCTACCAGAACATCAACAATAAGCATCACCTATACCATATATAGTAAGCTATAAAAGACCCCAGTATGGCAAAATGTTCAAAAGAGAAAACCAAAGACCCAATTAAGGCAGATAGCAACCAACAACAACCACTGAATTACATGCTTCTGACTTAAGACAGGCACAGAGAATATGGCGGTGTTAAACATGCTTGTGAGCACCCAACCCTTTCCGAACCTAGGACAGTGGTATAACAGCACAACAACAGAACAAACTGTAAAAATCAGTCAAAAAAGTCTTAACATTGCTTGAAATATCATAGGTTACTTTGACAGGGTACATGCATGTACCAGATATACATGTATATAAACATGTACATTTGTATTCAGTTCAACACACTCTGAAGCCTGAATGTTTCCTCTTTTACATTTTTAGAAGTAAAAAAATTGGCCCTCTATTTCCAACCACTGAGACAAGTCTTGAAACAATTAGATCTTTTACTGGAATACTTATGCAAATATTTATTCTTAATATTGCACATGTGTCATTAGATCCATAATTATCCTGGAGCTTCAAGACCTTTATATTTGTTCCTTATGACTATTGGATTTTTCCAATCTTAAAAAAATTAATTTCAGAATTAAAAATGTACATTTTTTACAATTTATCCATTTTGTTTTACCATGCATGTTTACCATGTTTACCTTGCTCAGTTATAGTTTCTGTTTCATTTACTGAATCCCATCTTGTAAAACATGATTGGTAATCACTATGGCAACGGACTGTAGGTGACTTAACCAATGGTAGTTCTCTCTCATTGGGATGGCTTGAAATACACACTCTGCCAAAACATTCTTCTAAAATTATATAATAGAGAGGAGATTTAAATAGCTTAATATTTAAATAAAGTTAATTTTCAAATTATACATGATTTTATGAATGATAATTCTGGTAAACCGCTCAGATTAATATGTCCTTTAACAAATCAATATTTTGTCATTTGTCAGAATTCTAAATATAAATTAAATTGGTATCTGATCATGGGATGATGAGAACTAACAATTCACCCTAAAAATTTACATGTACCAAAATATTTTGTCTGTATTCTGATCTGGTTACTACAACCAAAGAAAGTTCAGATGAGCTGACATCAAATACATATACAATATATGTACATTGTCGGAAAATATAAAATGTATTTGTATGAGCTTTAGAAACAGGACGAAAAGCGAGGTTGCCGAGCTTTTCTCCTGTTTCGTAGCAAGTGCAAATACATTTTATATTTTCCGACAATGTACATATATTGTTTTTATCCTGTAATTTACACCCAACACTTGAAACTTTAGTTGTTAAAATCTAAATCATTGTCTCTAATTTTTCTAAGAAATCGACATAGTTTAAACGTGGACCGCGAAGAGGACCCCAAAATGAACTGGTACGCAAAAAGAAATATCCACATTACCACTTGCTCAACATGGAAGCAGGGTAACAGGAGACTTTATTTGTACAAGTACAAATAAAGCAAAAATTTATTTGTGTACCTGTTATTTGTACAATAGTTAGCTGATTGCAGGATAAAAAATAATATTCATGTACATAAGTTAATTTTTAAAAGGTAGATGAAATAGATATTTTGTCTCGATAATCATCAAGTGTCTGTTTGCAAGTAAAGATGATTTTATACATCTCAAACTTACCAAAGATATGGACTTTGATCAAAAGTTGATCCAAAGAAATTAAGCATAAAGAGTGGATGGTCAAGCTGGCCTTCTCGTTTGCAACTTATTCAAGATTCCACATCTTACATGTAAATTAATGTATGATCTTTAAGGTAAACTTTAACAAAAATAAATGGAGAATGTGTTCATGGGACACAGATGATGCCCCCCCCCCCCCCCTTTTCCCCCTTTGCATATAACGTTATAAAGAGACATAACTAGAGAAAGCATTGTGTATAAGTTTCATAACATTTGGTTGAGTCAAACTAAGGTTAGAGAACGAAAAAACTAATTTTGTGACGTACGGACGGAGGTAAAGACGGACAAGCCACAGCGGGGCATAAAAAGTCAAAATTTTGTCTGCAGAGTGATTTATACAGGTATATTGATTTACATAGATTGTTTTAACAAATTTGAATTTGCATGAAAGTACAGATGATTCAAAATCCTATGGTATAAATTTATTAAACAAATGTACAAAAGATGTTAAATTTAATCTATCTTTGAAAAGTGGTCAGTAATGCATGTCAAACTGAATTTAAATTAAAAAAGCACAGTATTAAGGACATTCTTGACAGAACTGATTAAAATTGGTTAGATTGATACTGATAGATCAGAATTTTTCAATAAATTTCTATCCATATGACCATTATCTTAGTCAGAACATCAGAACTATTTAATCAGGATCTATAAAATATATGAGGTTTTTTTGGGCACAAGCAAGTCCCCAAAAAAGACTGTTTATAAATTAAATTAATGGGGAATGTGTCCATGGGACATAGATGATGCCCCCACTTGTATATAACGTTATAAAGGGACATAACTCAAGAACTGTAAAATTGACGCTACCCAAATTTGTACTTGATCTGAGTTTTGTGGTAATAAGCATTGTTTATAGGTTTCATAACATTTAGTTGAAGCAAACTTAAGTAAGAGAATGGAAACAAAAATTTCAGAAATTTTTCCATTTGTAAAGGGGCATAACTCTAGAACGGTTAAAGTGACGCCACTAAAATCTGAACATGATCTGTGTTTTGTGGTAATTGGCATTGTGCATAAGTTTCATAACATTGGGTTGAGGCAAACTAAAAATAGAGAACAGAAACGAATATTTCAGCAATTTTTCCATTTGTAAAGAGGCATAACTTTAAAACGGTTAAAGTGACGCCACCAAAATTCAGACTTGATCTGTGTTTTGTGGTAATAAGCATTGTGTATAAGTTTCATAACATTTGGTTGAGGCAAACTAAACTAAGAGAACGGAAACCAATTTTGGGACGTAGGGACATACAGACGGACGTACAGACGGACAAGGGTAAAACTTAATATCCCTTCTGCTAAGGCGGGGGCATAAAATGTTATGCATTTGAGTAAATCTTCTTATGTTTCATAGCAGAAAATTAGATTTGCTTACTGAAAGAGGTTCCTAATAAATGAGGATAGTGTCAACATGTGGACACAGATGATGCCCCTGCTTGCATATCATATATTTATAGAGGAACATAACTGAAGAACGGTAAAAGTGATGCTACCCAAATTTGAACTTGATTTGAGTTTTGTGGTAATAAGCATTGTGTGTAAGTCTCATAACATTTGGTTGAGGCTAACTTAAGAAGGGGACAGAAACTGAAAATTCAGCAATTTTTCTATTTGTAAACACACATAACTCTAAAACGGTTGTGTATAAGTTTTATAACATTTGGTTGAGACAAACTAAAGTTAGAGAACGGAAACGAAAAAAATTCAGCAATTTTTAATTTTTTATGTTTATAAAGGGACATAACTCAAGAATAGTATAAGTGTTGCCACCAAATTTCGTACTTAATCTGTATTATGCAGTAATAAGCATTGTGTATAAGTTTCATAACATTTGGTTGAGGCAAACTAAAGTTATAAAGGGGCATAACTCAATAATGGTTAAAGTGACGCTACCCAAATTCAACTTGATCTGTGTTTTATTAGTAGAAGTCAAAATTAAACATTGCATTGTATAAAGCATTGATTGTAGTTGATTAAACTATAATCATGGACAAAGGAAGAGAACTCCAATTTTAAAAATTACTTGATATTTAGAAGAAAATAAAAATTTTGCAATTTTTCTATTTATAAAGGGGCATAACTCAAAAACAGTTAAAGTGACGCCACCAAAATTCAAACTTGATCTGTTTTTTGTGGTAATAAGCATTGTGTATAAGTTTCATAACATTTGGTTGAGGCAAACTTAAGTTACAGAACGGAAACTAAAAGTTTTGCATTTTTTCCATTTATAAAGGGGCATAACTCTAGAATAATTAAAGTGCACCAAAAATATTCAAACTTGATCTGTGTTTTGTGGTAATAAGCATTGTGTATAAGTTTCATAACATTTGGTTGAAGCAAACTCAAGTTAGAGAACAGAAACTAAAAATTTTGCAATTTTTCCATTTATAAAGGGGCTTAACTCTAGAACGGTTAAAGTGACGCCACCAAAATTCAAACTTGATCTGTGTTTTGTGGTAATAAGCATTGTGGATAAGTTTCATAACATTTGGTTGAGGCAAACTCAAGCTAGAGAACGGAAACCAATTTTAGGACGTACGTACGTACAGACGGACAAGGGTAAAGATTAATGCCCACACCGCTACTTGGGGCATAAAAATTACTTGCAACACCCTTTTTAAAATTAGGTTAAAAATATCTAAAATGGTACCACTAAAAATGTTATGATACAAAAAAATGCAGAAATGAAACTTCGGTGTATGGAATATATATACATTGGAGTTCTATGCGACTGTCACACAAGTGAGAGGTTTACATTTGTAGCTAACTATAAAACTAGGTTTTATCCACCATTTACTACATAAGGAAATGTCTGTACCAAGTCAGGAATATGACAGTTGTTTTCCATTTGTTTGATGTGTTTGAGCTTTTGATTTTGCCATTTGATAAGGGACTTTCCAATTTGAATTTTCATTGGAGTTCAGTATTTTTGTTATTTTACTTTTTTGTAATCACACAGGTAAACTAAGCCTGCAATGAAAATCCTTGGACTCATTTCAACAAAGCATGAGAATAAAGTAAAAAATACCAATATTTGAATGATAAGGCTGTCATCCCCTTCATATTATTATACATGTACATGTAAAAACATCCATGCAGTCTTCATAATCTTACATACACAATAACCATGCTAAGAACTAATATACATGTACATGTACAATGTACATGTACAAATGTATATGTAATCTAACCTAGAGTCTGAGTGATGTGAAAAACAAAGGTTATATTTGTACTAGGACACAATATATAATTGACCTATTTCAATTGGATGACAAACTAATCATGGAGGTTTACACCACGTTTACATTTGTACATCTATCTATTTAAGCTACCCAGTATAATTATCATATATATATATATATATATGTAACACTCAGAAATGTGTCCAATCCCCCAAATGTGTCCATGTAATGTCACTTAGCTCCCAAATATATCTAGACAAATTATGAAGAACGCCTAAACGTGTCATTTTATGAACGTCCAATCGTATCCGTATTTTCATAACACCCAAACGTGTCCACCTTCATGACCTTTGTGAAAAAGTGCTTTGATATCACAAATTTTGTTTGAAAAAAAAACAGTCGAGAGTTTATTACAGGAACTTTAGACCCAGTCTAGAAGTGCTCAAAACAAAATTCTACATTAGGTCATTAAATGTTATTTTTCAAAGGGTGCTCTAATGTTGTTATTGAAAAAAGGGGGACATAAGGGTTTCACAATTTGAAGCAAAATTGGCACACAATGTCAAATAAAACGTGTGAGCGCTGCCCCATTTGAGAATTCTCCAGCCAGAACACTGTATCAGATATCTTTCCTGAATTTTTTTTTTTAAATCGCAGTTATACCATGCACGTTTTCCAGAGATATTGATATTATTTTGTTTATTTATTCAATTAAAATAAAGTTTAGAGTAGCTTTAATTCACATTTTGAACCTCTGACCATCTCTGTGAATTTGCGAAGTCTCTATTTTGGATTTTCTTGTTCGAAATCATTATCTTTTTTAATCTTTGGGAATTTCTGCATTGACAGCCTTTGATAGCGGTTGTTTTTTCTTCTATGGACTCCAGCAGAAACCCAACATCCATGGATTGAATTTGCCATCGACTGTACTGACGTCACAGATGACATACATGTATTAGCGCTAAAAGTTTTGAGATGTTATACAATGTAAATGTAACGTCTTAAAGAGGAAATAACAATTGACGAAAAAGTTTGGGCAAGGAAAACATCAGATACATTTGAGCGAGATATGATTTTGTGGACATGTTTGGGGGGATGGACACGTTTGAGAGTGTTACATATATGTATACATTTTGTTAAAGTTTTGACTAAAATATTACATTTATAAAATGGTAAAACAAGTTGCAAAATGTATGTACATGTAGATGTTAACACTGTCACATTCTTTATGTGCATGTACCAAGTAAGGAGCCTGCTATTCAGTTGTTGTCCTTGGTTGCTGTCTGCCAAATTTGTTTTTTGTTTACATTTAATAGCAAATTACATCATGTTGTTGGTTTTCTCTTTTGAATTGTTTCCCATTTTGTCATTCCAGTGCCTTTATGGCTTACAATACGGTATGGGTTTTGCTCATTGTTCAATGTTGAAGGCCATACATGTACAGTGACCTACAAATGTACATGTATAGTTGTCTCATAGGCAATCATATCAAATCTTATTTATATATTAGATGTCAATTTTGATGTTGGGTTGATGCCTCTTTACAAAGTTCTTAAAGAATCATATTAAAAACTTTTAAAAATGAATGTTCTATTTATAAAATTATTCAGAATAGAACTTCAGTCCTATTAATTCAGTTTTGCAAGATATATATATATGTCTCTAGTTTTACAGTGTAAAAATGCATTATCCCACTTTTACAATAATGAAATAATATATATCAATATAAAAAAAAAGAGGAAAATAGGAAATTTCTTTTTAATTACTTGGCAGTCTTATTGATAATTTTAACCAATCAATTTGGTCATCATCATGCAAAAAAGTAAATGTGACATCATTAATATTCCTTGTGTCCAACATTGTTACATGTCTAATACACTAAGAAAAATTTCTTACAAAAATGTCCCAAATATGGCTGATAAATTAAACTCACTGTGACACTGAGTTATTCTTGTCTACACTTATAAATTTAAAAAAAAATAAAGAATTCTGACTAGTGATCCTGGTCAAATAATTTTTCTGATCTAATGCAGGTCATTGATTATTGGGTTAATATATGTAAAATGTAAAGTTGTTCCGAACTATCGTCTAGACAGGCGACAAACTGTGACCTTTCAATGTTTACCTGTCTGCTAATACACAAAAACAAATCACAGTACACTTTCAATTTATTCCTCTTGGTTTTGATATTAGTCTGAAACCTAGCAAACCCTATTCGTATCATTCAGACAATTTATAAAAGAGAACTGGTTTCTAATGTTTAAAATATTTAGCACAATGTAAAAAAAACTTGTTGCCACTGCACAGCACCGTCTGACTGATCTGCAGTGCATATCAATGGTTTCTGTCATAATGGGTAAATTGCAACGAATAAAATCTTGTCAGTACCACTAAATGAATATTCACAATAACTTACCACATAATGAAATCAATGTAATCACACACAACTGATAAACTTTCATTTTTCAAGTTCATTTCGCAGCATTTTCTTTCCACTAGATAACTAAACAACGTCGTGCCTCAGTCTTGATCTGCGTTATATAAACGCTTGTAATCTGTGCACCTGTTTTAATAGTTTTTTTTTTGGTTTTGTTAGGACCGTATCAATTTGCAATTAAATAGCAACACTACTGTCATCTCAGTGTCTCTTATCCCTTAAACCGCACGGTAATATTACGTGAGGCGTTTGCATAATATTGTACAATGATATCTTTAGCCTTTAGTAAAATGGACGATTCCATTGGCATTGATTTGATTGTGACCATTGACTGCTTTTAGAAAAGGATGGGGTTCATTTCTATTTTGATGCGGAAATTTTGGGATAACTTGACATTAAAAGTACTGAAGTTACTCATCTTCTAAGTATAAGGGTAGGGGCATATCAATAGTGTATACGGAAAGTTATCTATGCCAATCCGTACTGATTCAGTGTCTTCTACAGTTGCCTCCCTTTAACAATAGCAGACGAAAATTTTCAGTATGAAAAGAGAAAAAAATGAAAATTGGCTACATAAGTAAAGATATAAGTGATTAATAACTTTCAATAACGGGGTTTGAAATTTATCATTTTCTTGACTTCCCTTCATTCCATAATTGGCAGGAGTTGAGCTGAGGCCAAGTCATGAACATGAAGACATTGAAGTGGAAAAGGTGTGACTTGCCATCACAGGCTTTTTTTGTCTCTAAATATTTTGTTTACCTATATACCTGTTATATAAGTAAACAAATAATTCAGATACAAGTACCTGTGCTTGCCATCAATGAATTTTAGATGGTTTAGGTATATTAGATGCTTTTTGACTCTCTATACTACACTTCCACACAGTCTGATTAATATTAAACAGAAGTCTTTTGAAAATTCTGAATGCAAATTTATTTGCTCTAATTCATATAAAGCCCTCTGTAATGATGAAGATTAATATGGAAGATATTTTGACTGTTACTGTGATGAGATGATTTAAGCTGCAAATTTTCTCCTTGACAACATACATATGTATATGATAAAGTTTATCAACAGGTTGTTATTATACTCCTCGTTGCTACTTTTATGCCATTACTGCTAAATACTAGACATCACAAATGTTTCCATAAAATGTTGGCGAATTGGGAGAAAAAATCTGATGTCATAAAGGAAAAGTGTTTGTTGTATGGCATCAATAGTTAAAGTGTTGCAAATTCTAGGGTCAATTAAGTGTCTAACATTCCTATATTGTGATCAGATCTATTCTTATGGGCACCAATTTGGCCCCTTTCATAGAAGACTTGTTCCTGAATTTGTTATGGATCATAGTATATAAAATATAATCCAAATATATATCCATATTGGTTATATTTTTTCAGACCTGCCAATTTTAAATGGTACAAAATTTATGCAGTTACTCAATAATGAGAATGTTTATGAAGTAAAATGTTTCAATAATAATTTCACTGCTTATTAGCTTATGTTCCTACAACTTGTCTTGCCTCATATAAATATCTCTAAGCCAGACATGGCAAGTTGCTTTTCTGTTCTAATGACAGCATCATTGTCATCAACACAAGATTAAAAACAGGGAGGGTTTATATCACAAAAGCTGTTTAACACCGTCCACATGTTTATTTCCCTGTCACAACTCAGGAACCTTGTCAGTAATGGTATTTTGTGATATTTGAATAGTGGTTTTTTTAATTTGTAGAATTAAGGGTTGTTTGATTTTTTATTGTCTATTAAATTTATTCACAACTTTTTTGATTCAGCATGATTAAGAGGTTGACAAATTGAAAAAAAAATACACCTGTCCTGTTTATTCATGAAGACTGAATGTTTACCTTTAGATGACTTTTGGTTATTTGTGTCTTTGGAAAAAATGCTGACTTTCTGTCTCATTGGCATATTGACACAAGTTCTGTTCTTTTTCAGCCATTTTGATGTGCATGTATGAAGTATGTGGGCAAATAGAGGTTACAAAGAACAACAGCCAAAATTTACAGGGATTTAATACACAGTTGGTGGAAAAACAAAGAACAGCATCATTTACCAGAAATGGCAAATATAAGAATAGAAGAGTAAGCTATTCACGTTATTTGAATTTTTATTTCTGCATACTTAAATAAAATGGTTAATTACACATGGTTATATTTTATTTAGGTTATATTTTGATTGTAGAAGTCAAAATTTGAAATATTTTATGTAATACGAAAAAATGGCATGATGTCTCATCTGACTTGTAGAAATAAGTTTTTGTTTAAAAATGCTGGAAGGTTACTTATGACACCAAATATTCTGACTTCTATAAGTCTGAAAATTCTGACTTGTTTATGTCAGAGCTCTAGACTGTTCTTACAAGCTACCCAGAGAAATATTTGAAACTTATTTTCATAGTCGAAATAAACTGCTTCGCCAAGTGCTGCTGGATACTACTGCAGAGGTCCAACCCTGAACAGTTGGGGCAAAAAAAGACACAATATTCAAGCTTGACACAGGTCTGAATTTGGATTGTAATTAAATATTTGACACATTATAGGTTTCTGACACAGAATAAAATGTGGTATTGAACCTTATGGTACAATTTCAGAGCAATCAAAATACTTCTACACAAGTTATTGTCTTGAAACTAGAAAAATGCTTGTTTTGGACCCTTTTTGGCCCCTTATTCCTAAACGGTTGGGACCATCACCCCCAAAAACAATCCCAACCTTCCATTTGTGGTATTGAACCTTTAGTTAAATTTCAAAGAGATCCATACACTTAAACTAAAGTTATTGTCCGGAAACGAAATGTCTTCTGACGGCGCTGACGCCATGGCCGATGACGTTATACCAATACACGACCACAAAAAATTTTTGCGGTCGTATAAAAGTGTGTAATAAAAGTGATAACGAAAAAATTAAATTTCATTTGATTATTTATTAAAATAAGCACCATTAAACAAGCAATATATATATACAGGGGTAATCAATAGATAAATTATCTGACCTTATATTGTCTTAAGTTTACAGTCCAGAAAGAAAAAAATTGTCAGAATTCTGAAGTTTGTATAATCAAAAGTATTTATAATTATCTGTGAAGTGAAGATTTAAAATTGTCTAAGCAACAGTGAAATAGTATTCCAGAAATATTATTGTATGTCCAGCTCCATAATGTATATATTTGTATCCAATTAATTTCTTGAATCCAAATTATGAGCTCAATTTTCCAAAGGCCATGTTAGCTTTTGCAATCACTTACCACATCCATCTTTCTTCATCCAACATCTGTCCATTAGACAATGTTAGATTTTTATATTTTGATTAAGAACTACAGAAGAAAATGAAATTAAACTTCACAGAGATGTTCCTAAAAGTGTCCCTTTATAGTTTTGTTACTTCGGTGCACATTTGTCATCAAACATGGCTGTCAATGTCTGTCATGGCCTTTTCTAATTCTCTCATGGCTGAACTTAGGAAAACTTCTTCTCAAGAAGCAGTTCTGCATGCAGAACCAATTGAAACCAAACTTGACAGATAAATGGTATTTTCCTGTGAAGGTCCTTAAGATTGTTTTTAGTTTGGTGCTGATTAGAAATTCCAAAAGGCTACATAAAAGTTCATCAGAGGTCAAGTTAACATGGAAACTCTATGTGGAATTACGTTTTGCTTTATTTTTCCAGAATGGATAAAGAAATGAAAACAAATAATTTAGCAATGATCCTTAGAAGGTTTTATTACTTTGGTATTGATGAAATATCTGATATGTCTTCAAGTGGCCAATAAGGGGTTCAGTTGGTCTGATTTTCAAAGAACTTCTCTAGATCCATTTAACCAATTGATATCAATCTGTCCAGTTTTTCTCTTTTGAAGATCCTTAATAAGTTTTGTAACTTTTATGCCACCCAGAAATTCAAAATTGCCATCAGCAGAGGTAAAAGTTTACAAGTGTTGTTCCTTTTGTCCAGATAAAAAGGTCAATATAGCTTCAAGGGTCTAATGAAGTGAAATGAAAAAAAAAACATGCAGAACTGCTTCTTGGTAGGTGCTTACCAAGTGTTGTTACTTTGGTGTTGATGAAAAGTTTAATAAGGCTTCAAGGATGAAAGAGGAGGGATCCAATTGATCCAATTTTCAAAGATCTACTAAAAAAATTGAACCAAACTCTCCAGATATGTTCCATAAGTTATAGCTTTGGTTCTGATGAATAGCCTATTTATTTTTATTTGGCTAAAATAAATTAAGGTGACCATTTCTGGCTCCTGGGAGCCTCTTGGTGTCAAATATTAAATTTTGACACATTTTTTTGAAAAATCCTAGTGTCATATGCTTAGTCATGTTATATAGAGGCCTTTAGTTCATTATCCATGCAACATAATATTTAATGACCATGCACTTTCTGGCAAATATTTACATCTATGTAATTTTAAAAATACACTACCAAAATTGTGAACATGCTCAAATGCAGAAAAGTTGTTTACCAACTTATACTGGTCAGCAAATGCAATCTTCACACATTGAAGTGCCCTTTGATGAAATTACTGAATTTGGTATTTGTCTTGTCAAATATTATCAAAAAACTTTCAATTACAACATATATCATCATAATTTAATTATTATTTAAAAAGGTGCAAAATATGTGATATACACAAAGTATTATATGGTTACAGGTATGGTGTATCCTAGCTGTATCTAGGAAAACCTGATCTCTTGCAATATAAATAAGGTCATAAAACTGATTTCCAAAGACTCATTTGTTAATAGTTATTCAGAGTTATAATTTAAGAGACTTAGGCCACTTTCATCAATCTGTTGCTTAACATATCAACCAACCTGAATATTTCTCATTTTAAAATTAACATGATTTTGAAGGTTTTTATTTACTACCATCAGTTGTAATTGTGGGAGCAAAGCAAAAAATGAAGAAAAATCTATGGTATAACAAATTTTTTCTATCATTTTTTACTTTTATATTTTTAAACCTGCTGGTTCCTCATTCTTATGTATCTGTATCCGAACTTTTTCTTTAAAGGTGCATTAGCTGTCAAATTCATGTTCACTGATTTGACTCAAACTCTCATATTTGATTAATAACATACTAAAACATATATCCAAATTACAAAAAGTCTTAAATAAACAATTAATAATGCATGATCTCGATAATATGCAATTGGATTTTTCTAGGTCCGTTTGATTTCATATTGTAGGTTAAAAAGTATGTTTATCATCGTTTTTACCTATATAAGAATGATTTTTTTGTGGATCAAATCAGTCAACCAAATGGTTCATCCTTGTTTCACTTTCAATATTGACATTCTTTTCCTTTTTATAGCTGAATACATGTGTAACCCATCCCTAGCTAAAGGGGTTAAATTGAATATCACATGAATATGGATTCAATGAGGTCGAATTAATCACCTGCAAGTGAATAATTCATCAGTGATGTTTCTTAGCTTATTTTGACAAAATTGAACCAAATTGGCTGCTTAAAGCGAATTATTATTTCATTATATCACTTTCATTAATGATTGAACAAACAAAAATCATATTTTATTTTTTTTTACTTCTCTCAGCTTAAATGTCCATCTAAGTCTTTATTTTAAAAATTTAGAAATTGAAATGCATAACCCCTTTTGGAAGCCAAACAAAACTAAAATTGACTACAAGCATCAAACTGACTTCAAGGTATGATCAGACATGTGTTTATCTTATGTATATAATCCATATATCCCCATTTTAAACTTGATAAAAATGTTGCAATTCTCTAATATGATTAACTTTCTATACTTAGACGAGAAGACAGCAAATTAGTGATGCTGATAATTTATGGTTTGATTTGATAGATGGTTCAAAGAAAGGTATGTAACTACAAATATTTGAAACAATAGATTTGGTGTGGATGTACAAAATATATATGAACCAACATTGCAAAGTTCTCTTACTTGATTAAAAAGAATTTGTTTCCTTCTTTCAACTACCAGTATTACATTTTCCAACCCGAAGCCTTAAAACCAACTGATATTTCCATTCATTTTGATTGGCTATTTTAAATTTCATTTTGGACTTATCAAGCTCCAGTGGGAATGGAACTAACATATTGGTTTACCTGGAAAAAAAAAAGAGGAAAGACAACAAGACAAGCTGCACAAAAGGTCACATCTTTGGTGTTGCAGAGATGAGACAGGGTTTAAAGAAATGAAATTTGGGTTATAACTTATGGGTAATAACTGACATGCTTTTGTATTGGAGACATCAAGATAAATGTGCATTATATTAGCTAAATTTTCTTTTAACAGAGCTGAAGTTATTTCTATTAATTTACAAAAAGCTGCATAGAACTTTCAATGTGTCAAATATGTCTTTTTTGTCGACTGCATACCGGTTGGTGTGACACAAAAAATCAAAGACAATGTCATCAAGGGCTGCTCTTTCTCTGGAGCTTTGTTATCCTAAACAAATAAAAATCAAGGGTATTTCCAGACACATTTAGGTGCAAGGACTAAAGAAAGCACTTTAAGTACATTTATATGCAATTTTGTAGCAAACAGCATTTCTCTGGACCAGATGGCATAAACCAAATCATTTTAATGGAAGCCACAAGCCACAAACTTTCATTCATCTGTTGTTACAGATGTCAGTGGAAATATTTCCTGACCAAATATAAGAAACACCTGCAAATCTAAACGTGATAAAATAGTGTTTGCATTAAAGCAAAAGCCACTATGTTATAAGATATATATAGTGTCCTGATTAAATAGAATAAAAAAATGCAAGGCACTAATTTTTTAGAAACAGAAATAAAAACTTTTATTGCTTCGCATCACAGTGCGGAGCTATTAGTTTCAGTCGATATACACGCCATCTTGAAATAATTACTTATCACATATAGATTCTGATTGGTAGCTTTATGATGTGGCTGAGATACAGCAACAGCTATTGGCTTAAATGAGATAAAGAATTACAGACTTTTCTCGTCTCAGGATATGAGACATCAAATGGTGGAAAATTAACTATGTGTTTTTCAGTTCCGATCAACTGTCATTAATTCATGTTTGTTTTATTATGCATATATTGCACACTGAAATTCAATATTGGAATATCAATTATTAATATGTGTTTATTTGCTTTGTTAATCTGCAATATGCATGATTTGTTTTGCTAAACAGTGTTCCTATACAATGTTTACAAAAATGCATTATCTGTATTTTATAACTTCTGCCAATCTAGGCACAGGTCCAGAGAGGCACACCTCCAGAGACGTGTCTATTTGTAAATGTTTTAATTTTCAACAAGTAAAGTGAACAAAATTTTTTTTTTTTTTAAAAGCATTGGTGTATAACGCACACTCGTAGAACAACATCATTTTCACTGAAACTAAATATTTATTGCTGTTTACAATTATATGTTATTGCTTGGATGGGTTATTTATTTTTGTGGACCAAAAGGACAGATTATTTATTTTCTGTACTGTTGAAGCATGATTTTTCATTTTCATTAAAACAAGGGACTGATTATCTATTTTCACAATTATATTGAAAATATTTGAAAACATACAATTTTTAAATTCTTAAATATATAACATACCAGTCAATTAAGTCAATCAGAATTAATCATCATCTGGAAGTTAATCTTCTGAATTGCAAACTGTATATTTTGCATATGTACAAGGTATTAAAGCTGGGCTGTAACTAGCCTCTTTTAAAAGTTGTCAAACATTTTCGCCGAGCGGAGAGTCTGGGGATCGCTGAGGGCCCCAAGAAGCTATAGATAAAATGGCGCAAAATCATGCATTATGCGCGTTTCCCAGACCCTTTCTTAATCTGAAACCCAAGTTCTGTTTTAATTTTTTGACAATATTCTGGTCTCAAAGCAAAATATATAGATTCAGCGTAAGACTTTTAGTTTTTAGGGACAACATCAAAAGACCAATATGTAGGACAAAGCAAAAAATGTTTCAGTTTGCAGAAAAACCTTTTATGCCTGTCAGTTATGTTTTTTTCAAATTAAGTTAAGAGGGGGCTGATTACCATTGATATAACTATGTCAAGTCGGTTTTTATAACACATTTCAATTACAACTTGATGTAGTTCCTAACTGGGATACAATTTAAAGTAGTTTGTAATAGACAAAAGGTCCTTAAATATAATAAAACTCAAGTTTAAAACATAATTACTAAATTACAAATAGAATGCAACACTAAGAGAATAGTCATAAAGAAGGGCAAGCAATGAACAAAAGACAAACCCAGGAACAGATAAAACACAAAACGACAAACATTATAGACAATCAACACTGAAAAATAAAAATAAATGAGAAACATGGATCTCAAAAAACAGGGGCTATGTCAGAGGGTGAACCGAACTTGCTTCTTGCAAGACACTTGCCGTGAAAACAATTTGATATGAAGACAAGCTTTTGTTTTGAAATTTCCAACATGAGGCATGCATTTGCCTCAACGTAGTTATGGCCCTGTAATAAAAGTGAGGTAAATGTTCACGAGACAATATACCTCAAGTGAAATGAAACCCATTTTCAAACATTTCAAATACATTAATATTTATATTATTAAAAGATTTGGGAAGTTTTTCCCGAAAAAAAATATGAAAAAAGACGAATTTTGGAAGAATCTGGTGCCATCTCATACTTCAGAATAGCATTTATAAAATGGCTTAAAAGACCTGCCAAGTTATTTTCAATACAATGTAAGTCAGGTTATTTATTTTCAAACTACCACAGAACAAACCATTCATTTTTGTTATTATCAAGGCTGAGTTATTTATTTTCAAAATCACCCTCCCCCCCCCCCCCCCCATGAATATCAAATGGTCGTCCCCTTACTGGTCCGAGTACACAGTTATCGTCCTTTGATTTTCGTTGTCCACGAATAAAGTCCCTAGTGTGGACAGTGTGTTGCTTGCCAATTTTTTTAGTACCCCTCCCAAATGTATTCCTTCATGTTTTATGCCTCAAATAGCAAGTAGGGGGATAAAATTACACTGTAAAACAATTTGGGTCATGAATTGTAAAGTAAAGTAGTGATTTGGTCCAGCTGAAAAAGGTTATAAATTAGCACTTCGGAAGCTGTCAAAAGATTTCAAGACCCCCTTAACATAGAATTGTCCATATTTTGAGTTAGAGCCGATGAAGTTTTCTATAATTTTGATATGATTTGTCCCAAAAGTAGTACAACACACTGTAAAAATATTATTGAGAAAGCGCAGGTGGGATTTTTTTTATTTTCATTTATTGTCTAAGGAAATGCACTACGAAATAACTGTGTACTCGGACCGGGGATATTCTCAATGTGATTGATAAAAAAGATGGATCTCCCAAACAAACACAAGTGCTAAGATTTTAAACAGTGGAAAATGCTAGTGCAATGTTCTCTTGTTCTCTTACCCTGCCATGTATAAATTTTTATTTAATAAATTATAAATAACAACCTTCTCTTATGGATTTAGGTAACTCTTTTTATGTAAACTATACATTTCTACAAATGAACTTTTTAATAACTAAGTCCAAACCTTTCTGAAAAGTTCTTCATTTTGCTTATTTGTCAGTGTGTTACTACCAGAACTATTCTTTCAAGATCCAAAACAAGGTCATCTGGTTATCAGTTAAGACTATTTATAGAAATATAACCGTAAAAGGCATTCCAAGAAGAAATTCACCTGCAAACCCACAGTGACAAGATGAATAAATTTAAAGAGGTCACAATGAATGATGCATTTTCTGTTGGAAGAAAACTTAATGAAAATTGGGAATTAACTTCCACAGAGTGGGAGACTGGGGGGGGTTATTGGGTACTAGTATGCTATACAAATGTAGGGAGTCTCCATTAATTTCATGACTGATTTATGTCATAATTTTTTTCCTTTTCAGATTACAGTGAAACCTTTTTTTCAAAAATTACAGACAGAAAAACAAAATTGGGACCCATGAAGTTTACTTGCAAATGGGATAACAAAGAAAATAGACGTGAACAGTTTGAAGCTGCATTCATTGAGTTTAAAAAGCCAGATCAGGGGGCATATTACAGGGAGTACGATCGAATTGTAGCTATGAATAAAGATGAAAAAATTTTGTGGTCAGATCACTTGCCATGGCCTAAAAAATTCGATTCAGAAGGTGAATTATATAACACAGCAGTCGGAAAGATATCAAATTCAGGTAAAAAATCAGGGAGAAGATATCATGGGGCAATCAAATTCCATAAGTCTTAAAAAAAACAGACAACATCATGAAGAAAAATAAAACACATGTAACAGTCCTCAAAACACTTAAAACAGAAAAATTAATATTGAGCAACACGAACACCACCAAAAACTGGGGGAATTTGGGTACTCCAGAAGGGTAAGCAGTTAATTCTCCACTAATGGCACCTGTTTTGTTACTCATTGAAAAATTAGGTGATGTTACATTAGAGGAAAAGAGGATGCAATTGTGGCTTCAACAGTCCCTGGTCATCAAGATCAGTGACTGATATTCTACAATGGTCAACCAAATCATCATGGCATCCCTAAAACTTTTAAAGGGATGACTTAAATTCAACTTTACCATTTGGACCCTTGAATAAATGGCTTCCTTGTTAGCAGCATACAACTATCAAGAAAATCATGATAGAATACGCAAGCCCTGGATTATCCTTTCAACTGGGAGATATAAACTCCATATGCAGGGCTCTGCTGATATGTTGCAGAAATAGAAAGTTCACAATCAGAAAATTGAAATCATCTCTTTGTCATGAAGTCTAGTTCTCAACTGACACTCCTTGTTTATTTCTAGCTTTAAGTCAAGATATGAAGCAGATTTTAACTGTATAATTTTGGTTTCCTTTATGTAATTTAGTGCAATGGGAGAGATGGATCAACATACTCACAGCACTTTAAATATTTCATTGACAAGAAATAATCTGTATAGTGGGACATGAAGTTAAAAGGTTAAATGCCAGCTTCTTTTCCTTTTTCTTGAGAAGGTCATGCATTAAGTCACCATCATCACAATATAGGAACATTTTGGCATGAAGAGGAGCACTGATGGTTCCTGTATGAATGCAGATTGTTTGTTAAAAAATACATCCTCCAAACATAACAAATATATTTCAATAAAGAATTTATCATCTTGATGATGTCAGTTTTAGAGAACTTTTTGTTTGAAACAGAGTGATGTTTTACAAAGTATGAGTTACCCTTTCCTTATAAAAACTAGACGTTTGTGTCTGCATGAAATAAGTCAGACTTATTCTTTCAATCTGTCTTTAAGTTTAGAATGAGGAATACCTGTGTAAAGGTTAGAGAAGTTAAATATTTTTTTTTCTCATATTTTTGCATTAGGAGAGCGACTTTATAGATTATTTGTTATCTTATTTTATATTATTCACACTGCCCCAGAGTAGGTATTTTCACAGTAACTCTAAAGCCGAGTTGTGATTGCTGATAAAATAGAGAGATGCAATGTTTTTGCTTTTGTCTGTTGACCTGAAGAAAGAAAAAAATACAGAAGAGGGGGTGGCACTCTTTTGGTATGTGGGATATATTGGGGTTAAAAAGTGGGGGTGTGGGATATATTAGGTAAAAAAGTGGGGATGTGGGATATATTAGGATAAAAAAGTGGGGATGTTGGAAGTGGGTGGCATTCTTTTGGTATGTGGGATATATTAGGTTAAAAAGTGGGGGTGTGGGATATATTACGTAAAAAAGTGGGGATGTGGGATATATTAGGGTAAAAAAGGGGGATGTGGGATATATTAGGATAAAAAAGTGGGGATGTGGGATATAGATGGTAAAAATGTGGGAATGGGGGATATAAGGTTAAAAAAGTGGGGAAGTGGAATATAGGGGATAAAAAAGTGGGGATATGAATATAGGGGGTAAAAAAAGTCCGGATGTGGGATATAGGTGGGGGAGGGGGGGGAAGTTGGAAGAAATTACAATAGAAGCAGGATTTGGCAAATGAGCACCCCATTCTTATCCCCTCAACAGAAGATGCAGTTTATTATATTTGTAAGATATTGTTTTTACAAAATATCACCCACTCTTTTATAGATGTAGAAAATATTAAAGAATTTTTCAAACCTGAAATACCATTGAATTAAGCTGTATCAATTTGTAATTTCAGAAGCATATCTTGATATTTATGCCTCTAGAATGAAGTGTGAAAATGAACAAGGATGGTACAGATGTACTGTGTTTGTCAAAAGACCTGGAAATGAATTTAAATATCAAACCAGCAAGAAGAAGTGGATGTTAATTCCTTGTAAGGTTTGAGAGATTTTGAAGACATCAGTAAAATATGATTAACATTTTTTTAATTTTAATATACTATAATGAATAAGATAAGTTAAGTTAGTGATGGTTAGCAGGATTTAAAACACTCTTAGTGGCCCAAGACAAGTAGATGTTATGGAATGCCAATTAAATTCAGAAACAAAAATAGGTGGTCTGTGGGCACTTTTTATACGCTCGTTTACGTTTCTGAGTTATGGGGTTTTATTCATTAAAAAAGGGGAATTTTCCAGTTTTCGGACAATAACTCAAAAACATTTTAACCAATTTGCATAAAACTTTGGTGAATTGTTTATATCTATTAAAATAACCTCCCTTTAGTTTTTATAAATTTCTGATATGACATTGAGGAGTTATGGAACTTAATTATTTGAAAAAGCAACGGGCATATCATGCATTCATGGTGCAGCTCTTTATTATTTTACCCCGCCATACATGAAATTTTAATTTACTCTTTTCTTTAATTGTTCAGGCTATCTTTTTAAAATAATTGCCAACCATAAAATTTTAATTAGAAGTGCCTTCCCATCCCTCATACAATAAATTCTAGAACAGCCCTGAAGTAGATTTGTGCACTTTGCAAGTTAAGTTCACCAGGCATATAAAAATATAAGATGGTTAGACAGTATTTTATCAGTAATTCTTTTCTTAATTACTTTTTTTCAGGTATGGTAAAGTATGGTAGATTTAAATCAAAGGTTGCCTGGGGTGCTGGTGGATCAGATTCTAATAATCTTGATCAGTTCTTTTTTGAAATGAAATCTGTTTCTGGTGATGTATTAAAAAAAAGTAAGAACTTCAATCTGTTTTTTTCTGTATAAGCCCACAGTATTTTTTCTTCAATAATGTTACCTTACACTTGAAGAGCATCCAAATCTTCACCTAAATTTTGAGTCAATTAAATTAGCCTGTACCAGACAAATTTATTAGCGGGTCTTTGGAGGCACTTGCATATAAATTTTGTGTGGATGGTTTGGTTTCTGATAACAGAATTTAGGTCAAGTTAAGTATTGACTATTCTCCATTTTGCCCCTCAGGAGTTTATTAGGATCCTTTATTGATTGGAAAATGTTCTGTTGTTTCTTTGCAGTTACATGAGAAGCATTCAACCAAATCATCCAAATCCAAACCAAATATTTATATGTTGTATCTTGTGACAAAATTAAGGTACATGTATGGAGAAAAGTTAGCAAGAAAACAAATGTTCAGAATGTTAGGATCTGCCTACTGTCCATTTTATTACCATAATTGTCCTCCAATAATCCAATTTTTGGCATTCATTTTTATAATGTATCTTGGAAAATATAATGGATAGAAAGAAACTATAAAAAAGCAAAAATGTTCAGTAAGATAAGATCTACAAATAAGTAAGCTTAACTCAAATTGTCAGTTGACTCATTATAAGAGTTATTGCCCTTTAATGTAGATTTTTATTTGTTTTGGGGATTTGAGCAAAACTTTAAGTAGGCATATAGAAATTGTTGAAAGCATAACTGACAGGGAAGATAAGATCTACAAATAAGTTAAATGTCTGAAATCATCAGTTGCTGTTAAATGACAATTTAAAACTAGTTTTTTGCATATTTGGATATAATCTTAAAAATTATAATAATATAGAGGTCCATTTTAAAAAGCAAAGAAAAAAATTAGCTAGATAAAATCTACATAAAAGTCAACATGACCAAAATCTTCAGTTACCTCTGTAAAGGAGTTCTAGACCTTCAATGATTATTATCATCTTTTGGGTTTGGTTTTTTTTTGTTTAGCAAAGAAAATGTTGAAAGCAAAGCAAAAATGATTGGTAAGACAAAATCAGTTAGATGTCTGAAATCATCAGTTGACTCCTTAAAGGAGCTATTAACCTTAAATATCTATTGTTATCCATTATATGTGTTTTTGATAATTAAGTCTCCCAAACAAAGTTTGGGAAGACTTATTGTTTTTGCTCAGTTCTTATTATTATTATTATTATTCTTCCTCTTCCTCTTCCTCTTCCGCCGCTTTTAAATTTGAACTTGTCCGCACCCGTTCTCCAAAACCGCTTGTCAGATTAACTTAGGGTTTCACAATATGTTAGACTAACATGTCTAGTGGTGCAATCAGGGTTTTGTTTGTGCAATGGGGTTTATAAAGGGGTACTTTGAGGGGCAAAAAGAAAAGAGGGTTTTACTATAGAACCCTATGGGATTTTATTTTTTTAAATTTTCAAATGATTATAAATTGAAAACCGTTTGTGATAGACACAATCTTTTTAATTGAAAATGTTCTAAATGATAAAACCCATTAAATGAAATACAGGGTTAGTCCCCAGGGGTCATCCCCACCCCCTGCCATTAATGAAAGTTCTAATACCTTGTAAGTGGTCAAGATCCCCACCCCTAAACCATATATATTCTGGTTTGTCATGCTAAGATGGTTTGAATGATATACAGGGTTAGTCCCCAGGGGTCATCCCGACCCCCTGCCATTTGAGAAAGTTCTAATATCTTGAAAATGGTCGAGATCCCCACCCCTAAACCGTATATATTCTGGTTTGTCATGCTAAGATGGTTTGAATGATATACAGGGTTAGTCCCCAGGGGTCATCCCGACCCCCTGCCATTTGAGAAAGTTCTGATATCTTGTAAATGGTCGAGATCCCACCCCTAAACCATATATATTCTGGTTTGTCATGATAAAGCACATCAAATGAAATACAGGGTTAGTCCCCAGGGGTCACCCCCACCCCATGCCATTTAAGAAAGTTCTAATATCTTGTAAGTGGTCAAGATCCCCACCCCTAAACCATATATATTCTGGTTTGTCATGCTAAGATGGTTTGAATGATATACAGGGTTAGTCCCCAGGGGTCATCCCGACCCCCTGCCATTTGAGAAAGTTCTAATATCTTGTAAGTGGTCAAGATCCCCACCCCTAAACCATATATATTCTGGTTTGTCATACCAAGATGGTTTGAATGATATACAGGGTTAGTCCCCAGGGGTCATCCCGACCTCCTGCCATTTGAGAAAGTTCTAATATCTAGTAAATGGTCGAGATCCCCACCCCTAAACCATATATATTCTGGTTTGTCATGATAAAGCACATCAAATGAAATACAGGGTTAGTCCCCAGGGGTCACCCCCAGCCCCTTCTATTTAAGAAAGTTCTAATATCTTGTAAGTGGTCAAGATCCCTACCCCTAAACCATATATATTCTGGTTTGTCATGCGAAGATGGTTTGAATGATATACAGGGTTAGTCCCCAGGGGTCACCCCCAGCCCCTTCTATTTAAGAAAGTTCTAATATCTTGTAAGTGGTCAAGATCCCCACCCCTAAACCATATATATTCTGGTTTGTCATACCAAGATGGTTTGAATGATATACAGGGTTAGTCCCCAGGGGTCATCCCGACCTCCTGCCATTTGAGAAAGTTCTAATATCTTGTAAATGGTCGAGATCCCCACCCCTAAACCATATATATTCCTGTTCATCATTTCTCAAACATTTGAATGACGTATACGGTCAGTCCCCACTGGGTTCCCCCCACCCCCAATGTTCTAATATCTTGTAAATGGTTGAGATCCCCACCCCTAGACCATATATATTCCTGTTCGTCGTTTCTCGAACATTTGAATGATGTATAGGGTCAGTCCCCAGGGGTTCCCCCCACCCCCAATGTTCTAGTATCTTGTAAATGGTCGAGATCCCCACCCCTAAACCATATATATTCTGGGTTGTCATGCCAAGATGATTTGAATGATATACAGGGTTAGTCCCCAGGCATCACTAATGCATTAACTTTACTGGACCAAACCAATTTTCACTGGACTTTGTCCAATGTCAGGCGACACTGGGAATTACGAATTATGGGAGCTTCGTTTGGGAGACTTCGTAACAGCATCCTGTTACAATCATTTCTTGTTATCTTTAAAACTTTGATAGAAAGAAATTGAAAACAACAAAAATAATCAGAAAAACAAAATCTAAAAATGACATAACCAAAATCATCAAATGACTCCTCATAGGAGTTTATGGAAGTAATTTTGGTAAATCACAATTCAGTTATAAACAATTAAATTATGCACATCACTTATTACTGCACAAAAATTACACTTTTAAAAGTAAGCATTTTACTCTTTTTCTGCTTTCTGGTGTAGCTTAATCTAGCATATTCTTTAAATTTGCATTATGCTACTGGTATATAGATGATGTCCTGTCACTAAATAATTCAAAGTTTTGTAATTATATTGATCCATCTATTCTATTGGACTTAAAATGAAGGACACAGTTGGTGATTATATTGATCCATCTATTCTATTGGACTTAAAATGAAGGACACAGTTGGTGATTATATTGATCCATCTATTCTATTGGACTTAAAATCTATTCTATTGGACTTAAAATGAAGGACACAGTTGGTGATTATATTGATCCATCTATTCTATTGGACTTAAAATGAAGGACACAGTTGGTGATTATATTGATCCATCTATTCTATTGGACTTAAAATCTATTCTATTGGACTTAAAATGAAGGACACAGTTGGTGATTATATTGATCCATCTATTCTATTGGACTTAAATTGAAGGACACAGTTGGTGATTATATTGATCCATCTATTCTATTGGACTTAAAATGAAGGACACAGTTGGTGATTATATTGATCCATCTATTGTATTGGACTTAAAATCTATTCTATTGGACTTAAAATGAAGGACACAGTTGGTGATTATATTGATCCATCTATTCTAATGGACTTAAAATGAAGGACACAGTTGGTGATTATATTGATCCATCTATTCTATTGGACTTAAAATAAAGGACACTACAGATCTATTTGAAGTCAACTTCATATCTTAACATACATATGGAAATTGACAATGAGGGTCGTTTAAGATCTAAACTTTAAGACAAAAGAGAAGATTTCAGCCATACAATTGTGGTCTTTAAACTATATGAAGTGCCTGCATGTGGAGTATATATACCACAGGATATAACAGAGGTTGGGTTTCCTATCATGATTTTCTTAATGAAGGGTTGCTGGTTGCAAAAATGCTATTGAACCAAATAATAAAGTTGAAGTCATCTCTTTAAAAGTTTTTATACAACATCATGATTTTGTTGACCCTTATGAAATATCAGTGCCACAGATGACCACTGATATGTTCCATTTGTCCTAGTCACCATTTCATCCTCTTTCACTTGATTGTGTCATTACTAAAGTACTGTAAATTCAGAAATTATTGCGTGCATTTAATATTGCGATTTTGTCATTTTAGACTAAAATGCGATTCTAAATTTTGCGATATTGAGAAAAATCTTGTTTAATTCATATAAAAAATTTCAAAATGCGAGTTTAAATTATTGCGATTATAACCCTGTCGCATTTTTCGCAATAATAAAAACATCGCAATAATTTCTGAATTTACAGTAACTTATCACCAAATGTTATCTTGGCATGAGCAGTATGGTGGATGCCACTAGTGAAGCAGTATCTTCTTACTCTCCAGAGTTGAGATCACTCCAGGTTTTTGGTGGGGTTAGTTTTGCACAGTCTTTAGTTTTCTGTGTATTGTTTTGTGAACTGTTGTTTGTCCTTAGGTTGTTTTTTAGCTCATCTGGTCCAAAGGGCCAAGTGAGCTTTTCTCATCACTTGGCGTCCGTCGTCCGTTAACTTTTACAGAAATCTTCTCCTCTGAAACTACTTGGCCAAATTTAACCAAACTTGGCCACAATCATCATTGGGGTATTTAGTTTAAAAAATGTGTCCGGTGACTCGGCCAACCAACCAAGATGGCCGCCATGGCTAAAAATAGAACATAGGGGTAAAATGTAGATTTTGGCTTATATCTCTGAAACCAAAGCATTTAGAGCAAATCTGACATGGGATCAAATTGTTTATCAGGTCAAGATCTATCTGCCCTGAAATTTTCAGATGAATTGGACAACCCGTTGTTGGGTTGCTGCCCCTGACTTGGTAATTTTAAGGAAATTTTGTCGTTTTTGGTTATTATCTTGAATATTATTATAGATAGAGATAAACTGTTAACAGCAATAATGTTCAGCAAAGTAAGATCTACAAATAAGTCAACTTGACCAAAATGGTCAGTTGACCCCTTAAGGAGTTATTGCCCATTATAGTCAATTTTTAACCATTTTTCGTAAATTTTTGTAATCTTTTACAAAAATCTTCTCCTCTGAAACTACTAAGACAAATTTAACCAAACTTGGCCACAATCATCATTAGGGTATCTAGTTTAAAAAATGTGTCCGATGACCCTTCCTCGCGAACCAAGATGGCCGACATGGCTAAAAAATAGTACATAGGGTAAAATGCAGTTTTTGGCTCATATCTCTGAAACCAAAGCATTTAGAGCAAATCTGACGGGATAAAATTGTTCATTAGGTCAAGATCTATCTGCCCTGAAATTTTCAGACCAATCAGGCAACACGTTGTTGGGTTGCTGCCCCTGAATTGGTAATTTTAAGAAAATTTTGCAGCTTTTGGTTATTATCTTGAATATTATTATAGATAGAGATAAACTGTAAACAGCAACAATGTACAGCAAAGTAAGATCTACAAATAAGTCAACATGACCAAAATTGTCAATTGACCTCTTAAGGAGTTATTGCCCTTTAAAGTCAATTTTTTACAATTTTCATAAATTTTGTAAATTTTTGTAAATTTTTACAAAATATTTTCCACTGTAACTACTGGGCCAAGTTCATTATAGATAGAGATAATAGTAAGGAGCAAGAATGTTCAGTAAAGTAAGATCTAGAAACACATCACCATCACCAAAACACAATTTTGTCATGAATCCATCTGTGTCCTTTGTTTAATATGCACATAGACCAAGGTGAGCGACACAGGCTCTTTAGAGCCTCTAGTCTTTTTTGTCATGGTATTTCCTGCTTTAATTAAGTTATGATTTTTGATTGTCCCAATGGTAGATTCTGCTTCTTTTTTCAATCATTATATCTTTTAGCATTATCATCAAAGTGACCTTATTTTGATTGCATCCTGTTAAACTCTTAAGATGCATTCTTACAAAAAATAGCTACTGTAAATTCAGAAATTATTGCGAGGTTTTTATTAATTCGAATATTGCGTCTGGGTGAGTATTGCAATAATAAGAACTTGCATTTTGATATCTGACGCATATATCTGTATGCAGATTTTCCTGAAATCGCAATAATTAATCTCGGATTTTAGTCCATTTTATAAAATTGCAATAATAAATGAACACATTAATTTCGGAATTTACAGTATATAGTCATCACTCACTTATCACTAGAGCCATTGGTTTTCTCTTTGGCTTGTTTCACATTTTGCAATGCCTAAGCCTTTTGTAGCTTATTGTACAATATCTGTTTTGTTCATTGTTTGTCAATGGTGGATAGCTATCTCATTTTCAATTTCTTTTTCTCAATGTTAATGAGGCTGACAATCCTAGAGAACTAAAATGGAAAGAAAGTCAGACCTACTAACTTCATTCTTAACCATCAATTTAAACCATGAGTGTTATGTAAATGCATATACATGCTTAACTTTTTTTCATTTCAGGATCATCTCAGAAATTAGTAGATCTAACCGGTCGACCCCACACATACAAATATAATAAAAAAACAAAAACAATCAGAGTTCATGAATGTAGACCATCTAGTGGAGTAATGCAAAAAGCAACATACATACTGGGTTTTGTGTTTGAATTTAAACGAATTGGTGAAGACTTTTATCAGCCAATAGCAGGAATAAGTGACAGAGGAAATATAGTTTGGTCTGAATCAGTATACTGGCAGCAAAATTATTTATGTAAAGCAGACAAAACGAGGTGTCCTACGGCTTATGGATCAGTTACAGAAAGTGAGTGTTTAACATGGATACTGTACTGTGTATGATGTCAATAGGTTCAGCCCTAAATAGTATGAGAACACATGGATGATCAACATAATTATATTAGTTATGATGATTCCAGTATTGGATATTTAATAAAGTTTTACTACAAGGTTCTGGTTCCTGAAATCATATTGTATAAATTGAAAATAGGCATCTGTGTGGCCATATAAGTTGTATATATAAACATTCAGCATTTAGTTGATATTAAAGTATAGTTTAATCTGTTATCTCTCATTTTGCACACTGCATGCTGAAACCTCAAAACCATAATAGTAGTGTCATGGTTTAACATATATATGCAGTATGTTGTAAAGGCTAGGTATAATAGGTTTTTTTTAAGGGGTGATGGCTGGGTTGGTCAGGGAGGAGGTGGGGTGGGGGTAGCTCCAGTTGTATCCATGAAATAACTTGAGAACTGTTCAACCAATGCCTTTCAAATCTTAATCTGTTGCTACTGATTACCAAATGGGGGTCTAGTATGAAATTAATCATACTCAGTTTGTCAGTTCTGGAGTTATGAGCCTTGATTTATTGGGAAATGGTACGTTATGTCATTTCAGTGCAATAACTTGAGAACCATTTAACCAATGCTTTCAAAACTTATATGTTGTAACTGATGAAAAAATAGAAGTCAAATTCACTGGAGACGATTTTCACTACTGCCATTCATGAGTTATGGTCCTTGATTGATTTGGAAATGGCACTTTAATCTGTATGATGATTTTAAAATGCTTGATTAAATCCTATTCAAATTTTAAGATGTTGTTTTTCATGACAAAATTGAGGTCGGTATTGATTTTGACGAGTTGAACTTTTGCAATTCTGGATTTATGGCCCTACATTGCTTTATCCATGACACTGATTAAAAACTTGGTTTTCTGTCATTTTGTTAGCCTCTTGTTAAATTGACGGGATGTGTTATCTTATGCTTTTCTCCATGCATCTGTCCACCGGTCCACATGTAGTACAAGAGCAAAATTTAAATTGCTTTGATCAAATTGCATGAAATTGTAAAAATTTCTAAGCAATGAAGAAAGCATCCTTTTGATTTATGAAATTTTTCAGTTTGTTGATGCCGAGTAACAGGACTTTAACCTTCAGACAGATTTATGACAAAAATTATTTTTACCATATCGCACAATTAAACTCTTGGAGAAGTTTTACTTGACCTAAACTTCATGCTGTTGTAGGGATTGGTCAATTTTTTCACATGTGGCTCACTAGTGTAGCTCACGTATTATTGGAAATGATCTACTTTTTACATTACACAATTACTAATATTTGGATTAGTATGAGAATTTAAGTTACATTTTGATTTAAAAAAAATTCAAAATTTTGTGTTTCCTGAGTTATGGGGCTAAAACCAAATTCAATTGTCTTTTCACATGTAGCACAGCAAACTTCAGTATGCTAAGATCAACTTTATATTGTTGTATGCATTTGTGAAAGTAAGTTATTTTTTATATGCTCACTTAGGGTCAAGTGAGCATTATTCTCATCACTTAGTGTCCTTTGTCGTAAGTTGTGAGACTTAACTCTTTTGTTATACTCTTCTGAATTTTGAGTAATCTATAAGTTTTTTAAGAAGCAAGTGTTAGAAATACTTATTGATAATCCATATCAAATCCTATAGACATGCAGAAATTTGGTAGTTTATGGAAGTGCCTTTATATTATTTCACTGTAAAATAGTAAAGAAATGTTTTCTGTGTTAACTTGTCTTTTTTCAGTTTTGAATTCACACCAGAACCTGTTTTCATTTCAGATCCATCTTTTACATTAATCACATCTGATTGTAAGAAAAATGAAGGATATTATAAATGTCACATATTTGTTCAGTTTGCTGGTTCCCCTGCATCAGAACAAATTGAATCTGAAGTCCTTCTCAAGTCACCAGATTGTAAGTTATGTTATGCCTTGGTTGCTATGACTATTGTTATGATGTAAAACACAAAATATTTAAGAAAAACTTTTTATTATAAAAAGTGAAATTTCATTAAATTGAAGTGTATGATAAAAATCCATCTTGTTCTGTATTAATTAAAATGAGTCAAAAAGCGATACATAGGTATGCTGTTTCTGGTGTCGGCGGCAGTGGTGTCAACAATGTATTAGTTTGTGATTAGGTCTAGTTTATGGTAAACCATTAGTGGTAGGTCAATGATATTTGGTGAGCAGTTGTATTAGCATTAGCACATCTCATTTCCATGGAGATTATTTGGCCTTGCCCAGTCAGTCATGGTCTATTGACTTTGAAACTTTTGCTTAGTTTACATGTATAAGTTTGTGATTAGGTCAGTTTGTGGGGAACCACTAGTGGTAGGTCAATGATATTTGGTATGCAGTTGTATAATCATTAGCACATCCCATTTCTATGGAGAATATTTGGCCTCTCCCCCTCAGCCATGGTCTATTGACTTTGAAACTTTTACTTAGTTTATATGTATTAGTTTGTGATTAGAATTATTTTAAGATAAACCACTAATGTTAAGTCAATGATATTTTGCATGCAACTGTATTGGCATTTGCAAGTCTTGTTTCCATGGAGATTATATAGCCCCACCCCCTCATCATGGTTCATTGACTTTGAAATTTTAATATAGTTTACAAGTTAATGTTTGTGTTTAGGTTTGTTTAAAGGGAACGACTTATGATAATTCAACGGTATCTCATTTCCATGGAGATTGTTTAGACATGTACCTTTAGTCATTGTTCATTGACTTTGAATATTTGCATAACTGACATGTTAAAGTATTGTTATTTTAATTTCAACATTTGCATTATCAAAATTACAAAAAGGCGAGACATATATATCTCAGTTAACAGTTTATATTTAAGTACAGTAGCATGTTGCAAGTGAAAGTAACATTTTATAAATTTTGTGCATCTATATAGTGCTTTTTTAGTTCACCTGGCCCAAAGGGCTTAGTGAGGTATTATTATCACTTGGCGTCTGTTATTATTGTCAGTTGTTGTCCCTTGTTGTCGTCCTTTAATTAAAAAAAAACTTCTCCTCTGAAACAATTGGGCCAAATTCAATGAAGTTGCTGCAATCATTGTTTGAATATCTAGTTGATGACCTTGTCTGCCAACCAACATGGCCAACATAGCTTAAAAAAACAACATGGGGGGAAAATGCAAGTAGTAGTCGACTCTTTATTGAATTTTCTGCCCTTTAATGACAATTTTTTTTTTCATTTTTTAGGTTATCTTGAAAACTTTTAAAAAAAAAGAAGAAAGATAGAAACTTAAAATAACAAAAATGATTAGCAAGACAAGATCTACAAATAAGTCAAATTTCCAATATCATCAGTTAGGAGTTATTGCTCTAAAATGTTGATTTTTGTCTCGCCTGCGACAAAGTCGCAGTATGCGAGACATAGGGATAACTATCCGGCGACGGCGGCATAAACTATTTGTATAAAGCTTTTTATTTCAGAAGGACAAAGATCTGGATGCTTCATACCTTGTATGCAGATACCTTATGTTGCGAATTTTCCACCTGTCATATGCCCATTGCCCTTGACCTCATTTTCATGGTTCAGCGACTGCTTAAAAAAAAATCATTTTTTTTTTCATGTGAATTTCTCACTTTTTATGAGTAATAGGATAAGTGTATTTGGTATATGGGTTCCTTGCAATGTTTTTTTTTTTTTTATTCAACAACAGTATTGCACACGCTGTTAACAATTACTCCACTGACACAGCTATCTCAGTGAAGGTCCCTGTTTCATTAGTACCAGAAGTTCAGGGATTCTTCAGGTAGATAAACTGCATATTGTTAGTCGTTTACAAATATTAATATAACATCAATAGATAAATAATGCTATTATATTTTAATAAAGTAGTATTTATATCATCTGGCGTTATTTTCGGAATTTCATAGTTCATCCGAGTTTGGGATGATTTAAGGTAGCAATAAACAGTTAGGAAAAAATATTAAAATTTTCCCTCATAAATTTTACCATCCCCTTTTCATTGCCTTCTTGCAATATTAAGCTTACTGTATGTGTCATATATGTGCATATGTATGTAATCAGAATCTTCCATAGATTTCATATCCAGTATATAAAATGGTGAAATATAATTTCTTTTTGGTGTATCCATGGCATCACTGCATTTTTTTGTTATAAAATATAGCAAAAAGGGGGGAAAAGATGTCACATATTTCCCCAAAATTTGGCCAAAAGTAGAATTTCAATCACTTCAAGTAATACCTTTTCTGAAACTGTTTACATATATCTTTCAATAAATCCAATGAAAATCATATGTCTTTCATCTCATTTTTTTGTAAAATTGCGTCAAAAACTTCGTGTAGAAAAAAAGTGTTTGTAAACATTATATTAATTTCTGGACCGATGATCGGTCTAGCTATAAAAATTCGGAGAGTCAAACAGAAAATAGCCCATAAAACATGTAAAAAAATAATCTTGATGTTCTTATAAACCACCTTTGAAGGCTAGATAAGTACTCAGCTTTCTAAAAATGAATTTTATTACACAATAACTTTCATATTTGAAAAATCCACCGGGGCCAAAATGCGAAACCAAACTTCTTACTGTGTATTGCTACCTAAAATCTATTACCAGTTTCCATGTGTTTCCGGATAACGGTTTATTTTTAATCAATATCAAAAAAGATTGTAATTAACTTTTTCTACATCATTATTCAGGTAAGACAGTTATAATTTGAAAGATTAATAGTCATACGGTAATCGAAAAACAATTGTGCTGTGTTTTTTTGTAATGTATATACATCGTACCAGATTATATAAATATTGCAATGTCTATCCCCTTACAGAAATGAAAAGTTTGCTGCAATATTGCAACAATATAGCGGCAATATTGCAGCAAACAAATTTGTTTGCAAGAAGTGTTTGCAAGAAAGTTGCAGGTTGTCGCAGCTACCTGCAACATTCTCGCAATGTTACTGCAACAAAATTTGTTTGCAAGAAAATTGCAGCAAGTTTGCTGCAATGTTGCAAGAAAGAATTTATTTGCTAGAAAGTTGCAGGAACCTTTTCTTTTATTATTTAAGGAATGACTTTTTGCAACAACTTTGCAAGAAAAGTTTCTTTAATAATGTCAGACAATCAGATAGTTTGCACCAATATTTCAAGCATTTTAAAATATTACATATGATTATTTGTTTTTAGATTTAAGGTTAAAATAATACACAACATATTGTTTCTTTGAATATTTGGTTATGGATACTTCTAACTATCTAAATTTGTTGTCGTCATACTTTATTTTACTCAGAAATATCTGGATATTTGAATAATTTATTTTAAATAAATCTTCAAATAACAATGCTTATATTTTTAGAATTCCTAAACTGTACATCACATTTATATGATATTTTGTAAGGAAAGAATTTCAAGAATACTTTGGTATTTATTTCAACAAGTTTAATCTAAATAATTGAGTCATAATAATTTTTGTTCTACATGTATTATTATGCCTTTTTGTCACTTTTTTGTGACATTTTTCTATGAACAATATTTTTAATTCTAATATTTTCCATCAAATGAATTTAGCCTCACCTGCAGGTTGCATTTTGTTTAATTTCTAGTATCATTATTTTAAAACTATGTATACACAAATTACCTTTCTCATCTCAATTAGTAATATGAGCTGGTGATAGAAATGTAATGTGCCATCTGGTTTCAATTTATCTCTGTGTAGTGGTAAAGACAGGAAGTACCATAAATTAATGTACACAGAGTTTGAGGCCAAATTAAGGGTAGAGCATTTCTTCTTTGTATATATTTCCATTATAACTTATAACATCAAAGATAAACAAAAATATATATATATAATTATTTTTTTATTATAATATATAACAAATATTCAAGATTTAGGCAATTGATATTTATAATTAGGGGCAAATTTCAAAGGGATCACACTGTCACAATACCCTAAGCAACCTTGATCAACATATTCAAAATTTGAACTGGACATGAACATGCATACAACAAACAAAGATGTCTTCTATCATGAACAAAGTAATACGAATTTTACAATGGATTTAGATCCAAAAGTTCCAATTAATTCTATTGACACTGGATAGTGCATATGATAGCCTTCAGTTGACATGACTCTTGGATTTAGGAAGATTGGTGTTTACACATAATTTGGATAACATCTTTTGGTAAGTACAATGGAGTTGAATGTCCACCATTTTGAATAAGTGCTTGCTCTTACAGTTCAAAATAGTGATATTCAAAGAGTTTTCTTAACTTAATAGAGTTGACAAAAGTATAAGACAATAGATTTATGCACATGAATATTATTAAAATTGTGTAAGACAGGAGATATTTTTTTAAATCTATTTAAGACTATATGTTTTAGAAAGTACATTACTTAAATTGAAACAAGAAATCTTCTAATAAAAGCAGTTTGGTATTAAATTAGAGATCTGTGATTTGACTGCCAATAAGAGGTCTTTCAACAAATGGCAACAATATTTAGCTTTTATATATACACAACTAATCACAAAAATTTTAAAGAATAGACAAGACCAATTATGTTATAGTTCAATGAAAAACAAATATTCAAAAAAGCAATAACAACCTAGTACTGGCATAAGGTTAAATGTATAGTAATATGCAATTTCTAGAAGGACTTGATAACTTTTAGACATATTGACCCTTTAAGTCAAACAAATGCTGGAAAAATTGGTCTGTAATCATCTCTTTATAAAGAGTTATTTTCATTTTACAAGTCCAGAATTTACAATATATAGTAGTAACTTATATCTTTATATCTTTATAATGTTTAGTTATTCTTTTAATGTATGCTAAATTCTTCAACTTTTATTTTGCAGTATTTGAAATCAGAAAATTCAACTTTAAGGACAGTTAGTACAGAGAAACAGAACTAAAGGATACACAGATATGTAACACAACAACCTATAGAGGACAGAGAAAATTTTGTTTTATTATTAAATCATACTTTTTTAAATGCTGTTTTTAATTCCTGTTTTTTCAACTGAAATTGTTGAAAGATTTGCTGCAATATTGCTGCAATATTGCAAGAAATTAATTTTCCTGCAATATTGCTGCAACATTGCAGCTAATGAATTTGCCGCAATATTGCTGCAACAATCATAGCTACTGATTTTCCCGCAAACATTTGCTGCAATATTGCCGCAAATTGTTGCGGCAATATTGCAGCAACTGTTTGCAAGAAAACTAATTTGCATACGAAAAATGAATATTTGCAGCAATATTGCCGCAAATAGTTGCAGCAACATTGCCGCAAATATTTGCAAGAAGCCTTATTTTTCCATAAGGGTCATGCATCATAATTATATAAATACAAAATTAGATAATAAATCAATTAATACACAAAGATAACATTATTAACCATGTTATCAGTTCATACAATTCAAATACACCTTAATATTTTTTCTTATATACCTTTCCTTTCATGGTTAAAAAATTTGTTTTGTAGAATGAGCCTATTTCTAAGCTCAGTTTTAAAAACAGAAAATACATTAATATTCTTTGTTCTAAACTCTGACAGATAGTGTATTTTGTGAATTGAAAACATAATCACTGTAAGAAAAAAATTAATATCATAGTATTCTATATCACTTATTTTGTAACCCCAAATCAAATTTTTTAGTGTTAAAATGTGTTTTCCAAGTTTGACTTTTTCTAACAGATTAAATATGTCTTTCCAAAATTTATCAAGAAAGTGGCATGTAATAAAAAAGTGTTCATAATCTTCTGTTATATTACAGTGATTACAGTCTGAGTTTGGGCATATTTTCCATTGTTTTAATAAAACTTTGTTTGGAAGAATAAAATGTAAGAGTTTCCATCTGAACATTTTTAATTTATTTTCTTTCAAATAATTATGAACAAATTTTAGTATATTTTGAGCTTTATTTTCTATGTTCTCAAAATTTAGTAATCTCTTCCATTTGTAAAAGCCAATTGGTATTTCTTTCTCTTGTTCTAATAATATTTTGTAAATTTTACTTGTTTCTAATTTATTTATATTTTGTTTAAAGTTATCTTTGTCATAAATATACAAAACATTATCTATTAGTACATTAGTTGTTCTTGAACAGTTTTCAGCTAATATATTAACCCATTCTTTTGCAATGTTAACATTTCCGTCGGACAGAGTTCACCTGACCTAGACCTCGATTCATGGATCAGTGATCAAGTTGAAGTTACGTGATTAGGTCCATTTCTCAGATACTATAGGCAGTATGTTAACTTTATTTGGTGTATCATGAAATGTTTGTAAGGTGTACGTGTCTGCCTAGCCAGTGTCATCTAACCTTGACCTTATATGCAATAATCTTACATCAACACCATAACCAAACATTTACATTGTGTTCCATGTGTTTTAAGGATTACCTGTACTAATGATATTTTAATTATTGTTAATTTGCTTTTTAATGATCTAGTTTACATTAACAATCAGTTTTTGTACAGTATACTTTTTTCGATAGTCATGAGAAGTTAATTAAAGGATCAAATAAAAAAGTACTAGAACAATTTCCTTTTGCAGGTGGTGCAAAAGCATCAAAAAGTCAGCCTGATATCAAATTGAACAAATTAACAGAAGAAGACAAGAAACAATTGGTATAGTATATAATGTAAAAATCCGCAACATATAACTTCTCCTAGAAAGAACAACATATGGGATAATGGACATTTCTCCCAGTTATCTTCATACACAACTAAACTGGACTCCTTTCCATGAAAGTGATATGTTCTGTTCATTCTTATTGAGTGTACATTTCTCATTAGTTTGATGGCTGCATTAGTGTCATATGATTTGAAGGAACATAATCTTGTCATTACTAAACACTTTGAACAGGGATATAGAAAGTAGTGTTAAGTACAGCATCATTTTAATGTTAGCAAATTAAGTACCGTAAAAAGCAGTGTATAGTACGCAGTTGTGTATAATAGCACCCCCTTTTCATCCCTCCAAAATCGTGAAAAAAGAGTTTTAAAAAAAATGAAAAAATGAAAAAGTAAATAAAAAGAAAAAAGAAAATAAAAATTAAAATTTTAAAGTCTAGTTCACTGTAAAAAGCCTTTAATAGGGAACAATTAAACCATGTATTTGGTCTTCATTTAAGTCTATTGAAAGATTATAAATAAGTAATAAGATTGATTGTTCATTCAAATTATTTTAAAGTCACAAACAATTAAATTGTAGAGCTTTTATCATGTAATTAACATTTATTAATTTTATAAAAGTAAAGTTATTAATTAAAGATCCCTTTTGAAATTGATGTCTGTCTAAGCTTGTCCAAGCTGATGCTCTGTTCAGATATTATAAAAGAAATAATTAGAATGTTATGGAACAAAAGAAATTAGACCTCAAACATTTTCAAAGTTGATTAGCAGTAATTAAAATTTAATGACTCTTTAATCTGATATTTCCTTTTCATTGATCTTGTTAATTTAGAGCACTGCCTGGGGTTATTATATATATATGTCAAAAGTTGACATGATTATTCAATTGCTACACACCCATACTTAATCCTTAATTACAATTTAAGCTCACACATGCAGGATGTCACACCAGTACTTGTGTATTCAATAAGGAAGGAAAACATTTTTTTTTAAATTACAAAATAAGAAATAAAATAAAAAACGCCTTGGACATATACAGTTACAATAAAAAACGCTATAAATAAAAAAAAATTTAAAAATATCAAAAACCGTCTTTATTTGAGTATAATACGCATCCCTTCTTCCAACTACTTTTTGGGGGTAAAAAGTGCGTACTATACACTCCTAAAGATGGTAGTTCTACTCGCTTTCAGTGATTTGAAGCATTTGTTTATACAGTATCATTTATTACTGCTTTACTTTTACCTTTGCTTCTGCTGAATTTTACACAAGCTTTGTAGAGTTAAAATGATATCAAAATAAGGAGATGTGTAATGAATGTCAATGAGACAGTTACCCACCACAGACAGAAGGATGAGGATGTAAACAACTACCATATAGGTTACTTTACAGCCTTCAACTATGAGCAAAACCTATACAATATAGTAAGCTTTATAAGACCTAGGCATAAAAAGAAAACCAACAGCCATTATTTATGCTAAAAGGAGTCGACCAACGATTTCAGCCATATTTGTAGAACTTGTCTTGCTGATCATTTTTGGGGTAAAAGTTTCTCTATCTATTATAGTTTTCAAGATAATAGGCATAATTTTAAGATAAAAAAACACCTTTTAATTTCTTTTTTTACTATTATATTAAAAATAGATGAGAACAATTTTGAATAGCAAAAATGTTCAGCACGATCAATAAGATTTACAAACAACCAAAAATGGCAAAAATTGTCAGTGGATTCCTTATTTGGGATACTGTCCTTTAAAGAAGATTTTTACATTTTTTTGTGTTTTTTCTTATTAATTTGAAAAGATATAAGGCATAGATAGAATTTTTAAAAAAGCAAAAAAGATCAGCAAGACAAGATCTACAAATAATTCATTTAGACTTAAAAATCATCTGCCGACTACTTATAGGAGTTATTGACCTTAAATAACAATTTTTTCTTATTGATTTTTGCCTTATATCTTGAAATCTGTTAAAGATAGATTAATACTTTAAAAAGAAAAACAATCAACTAGACAAGATTTGCAAATAGGTCATGCAGCATAGATGAAATTGTCAGACTTAAATAATGATTGTTTACCCTTTTTTGTGTTTAAGTGAAAAACTATAGAAGATAGAGATTAACTGTAAATGGGAAAAAGAACAGCAATAAGATCAACAAAAAAGATATTTTTGTCATGAATTATATTCTAGTCTACAATGTTGGGCCATTGTTTAAGATGCACATTGATCTAGGTGAGAGACACATGCTCTTAAGAGCTTCTAGTTTAAACTAGATACCAAAATGAAGATTGTGCCAAATTTTTGGTCTAGTAGTTTCAGAGGAGAACATTTTTGTGAAAGTTAACATAGACATCGGCGGATGCCAAGTGATAAGAAATGATCACTTGCCTTTTTGGGTTTGTTTAGTTTCTACCTATCTCTTATAATTTATGAAAAAGGCAAAATAATGAAAATTAGCAAAAAAATGTCATTTTAGAGCAATATCTCCATCATGAGTCATTTGATAACGTTGGTGCAACCAGGAAATACATAAATCCTGACTTTCTGAGCATTTCTTTATTGTATTTTTCAAGATACATGTATAAGACAATTAAGGCATATTACCCTTATTTTCTTTTTTTTAACCATGGTGGCCATGTTTGTTTGACTGGGAAAAATACTATCTTTATACTAGATATCATAAGGACCCCATGTCCCAATTGTGATCAGGAAAAAAGCCCTCAAACATGATTTTGTAAAAATCTACACAAAAAAAGTTGTTGGTTCCCGATTTTGAACTTTTCCCAAAGGAGACAATCGTGTTCATCAATAACTAGCCAGTCAAAATCGAAATTACCTGTGATCACGTTGTCATCTCACATGTCTCCTGATTATTGAGGGCTTGTAAACAAGCAAACTTATTTATATTGTACCTTTGTATTCCATTGGTTCATCTTGGATATTTCATTGTATCTTAAATCTTTTAACAATTTTTTATGGACTGTGATTAAGAGATTTACAAATTGTATAGATAATTGATGGTTGGTGATGACTTTATGTTGACCTCTAGATGTCTATTGTTTCTTTGTGTCGTTTGGTTGCTGTCTCATTGATGTATGAGCAATATCCCCTTTTTTTCAAAGATACAGTATGAACTTATGACGCCTGACTTGGTAAAGATATAAAATTTTATATTTTTCTTGGTAACCATAACTCTCCCTTTCCTATCTAGACTATGTCTTTACATTAGATGTAATATAAAAAAATGAGCAGTAAAACATCTAACAAGAGCATGTTGTGTGTGGAGCCATTTTTGATTTGACAACTTGTTTTTAAAATGATTAAATTAAAGGATCTTTATTTCTGATGCATTACATTTGAGTGATTCCATATTTACAAAAAAAAGGTATTACTGGTACATATTTTCATGTTTCCAAGATACTCATAAAAAATCAAAAAAGCTCAATTGCATTCCATGAAAAAGAATTACTACATGCAGTACAGTGTATTTTGTTTGGGTTTTTTTTTCCAGCCTCCCCCTATAGAGAAAGAGGAAAATTACACGGACATTTACATAGGAGTTAGTGTTGGTACTGTTTTAGTATTGATCGTAGGTTACTTAGTTTGGTAAGAAGTTTGTAACATTACAACTATCTTGTAAACACAAAAATCTTTTTTTTTTACTATTACATGTAAACTCTTATTTAGGTAGACATAATAAACATAATGGTAACAGAGAATATCTTTTATGTTGGACATCACATACCTGCCAACTTCATGGGGGATTTTAAGCGCAAGATGACCTAAAGCTTCTCTTATATTGTGGTCAATGTTTTTAATCTACTACTGTAATGTTTGATTGAGTATGTTTGTGCATAAATACACTTTAAACTCATTTGAATGCCAGTTTTTAGGTATTTAGTTAATTTAATAAAGAATTTCAAAGTTCAGGTGAACACCTACCATGGGGGAAATCCCCCATTAAGCATGCACTATAATATGACAGTTCAAATACAAGTAAAGGTACTAATCCAATATATAACAATTGTAAGCTATTTCTTAGATCTTAAGTTAAGTGAAAAATGTATCATAGGATTATCACACATATGACTTGCTCATTTTTTTTTTACCAATTTCTGTATTAATAACCGTAATTTTTTCTGCTAATTACTTGAATAGTTTTGGTACAGATTTTCTACAGATTTTCTGAGCAAGTAAAAAGATCATCTCATAAATAAAGATTTTGAATAGTGAATTTCCTTGAAAGTTACTTTACTCCTTCATCATATACAAATGTTTGTCTAAACTTTTTTTCAAAGTATTCACAGATAGTCTTTTGCAGACATTGTTTTATCAGTAGTCTGTTTCAGAAATATTAATGGATTGGAACCTTTCTCTTAAACCAAGATAGCCAATATTGCTGTAGATATTTTGGAACATAATTGAAGTAAATTTATTTTACTAATATTAAATTTTTTTTGCCAAGTATTTTGGTGGCTGTCATATAACACATTTTTACTATGTTTCGTACATAGAACCTGAAATTCCATCTTAAAAGGCTAAGCTAAACATGCATCATGAAGTTCTTGATAATTATTGTGATTGGACTTTTAAATGAGAGATGTTGCAACACTTTGCACATGCAAATACTAGCCTCGAATAGGTCATCTGGTAAAAGAAATGCCATTACTGGTATACTAAAACATAATAGATTATACAGATAAAAAGTCTTGATGGCGGCTTGCTTGGAAAGCTCTACGGGTCTTTTCCATGACCTGTTTTTTCATCTTTTATATTTTAACCTTTCATTATGTATAACTTGGTAAGGCAACCCATTGTTAATTACTTACAGATGTTCATTTATAGCGATCACAGTATAATAGGGATCTTAAGGTGGATAGGGGGTCTTCATTAATATCCATAGAATTTTTTGATAATTTGTCAAAATGTATAGTTTATGTCATGCTTTTTTCAAAAATATAATAACAACAACAACAACAACCAACAACAACAACAACAAAATATAATAACAACAACAACAACAACAATACTTTATTTTAAGAGGGTTACACAGTTAGCTATATAACTAATCTTCCCTGAGGCCGTCATCATAAAAATCAAACAAAATGCCAACATATACATTGCATACATTAGTATAAAAAAACAAGTATGATAATAATGTTCAATACAACTTGATAAAATGTTATGAAAAAATAAACGTGATGACATAATCAGTTTTCAATATTTTTTATACAGTTAGGTTGATTTCAATAAATGATCTGTTATTTTGTATTTGAAAGAATTAACATTTGTAATATTTCTTAACGGTATTGGCAAATTATTCCACAAGAATGGTCCAGAATACATAAAAGATTTTTTGAACAATTTTGTTTTTGGTTTAGGGAGTATGAGGTTTCCTTGAATGGCATTTCTCAAGGGGTATGGATTTCTGTCTGAAACATACTGAAACTTGTTAGTAAGATATGATGGTGCGTCATTTTTGATGCACTTAAATGTCATCACAAACTTGTGATATTTTATTCTCTGTTCAACTGTCATCCAGTTTAAGTGTTTGAATAAGGACTTGGAAGGAGCGAAAGGGTATGTTTCTAGTATTAATCTATCAGCTCTCTTTTGTAATTTTTATATTCTATTTAAACCCTCACTGCTACAACTACTCCACACTATACAACAATAATCAATTAGTGGCAAGATATAACCATTATAGAATAATTTTCTGCAGTCTAGATTTAGAAATTTCTTAATCTTTAATAGCAGATATAGCCTAGATGAAATTTGATTTGTCCATGTGAGGAAAGGGTCAATTTTAATGCCTAAGAGACTTTCGCATGTGGAAGATTGTATCACTTGATTGTTAATAGTTAAACAACTCTCATTGTAATGTGGCATTGCTTTTTGCTTTGTTCCAATAATCATATATTTTGTTTTATTTTTATTGATGAACATATTCTGTTATCATTACACCATTCCTCAACACCATGTAAATCTTCTTGTACCGTTGACTGCAGAGTTTGATAACAATTACCAGAAAGATGTAAAGTTGAATCATCAGCATATAAATCAGTGCAACAATTTTTCATATAGATAGGAAGGTCGTTTATGTATAATATAAACAGAAGGGGCCCTAATATGGAGCCTTGGGGAACACCATACTTGATATAAAGTTTTTTCGGAATGAGCATTACCAATTTGTACTTGTTGAGTTCTTTCATTCAAATACAATTTATAAAAAGAAACAGCAGCATTATCAAATCCATAAATTTCAAGTTTTTTACAGAGAATATCATGATCTACATCTATTACATTTACATATAAAAAAAAGTATGGGTCACCAGGCTTTTTTTCACGCTACAGGTTGTGCAAAATTGTCAGATTTTATATAGATTATGCATGAAAAACACAATTTTGTGTGATAAAAGAAAACTACACCATAGAATTGTAAAATAAAATATGAGAAGATAGCTCTAATAATATGCTTTCAGATAAGAAAAAGAATAAATGGGGTCACCAGACTCATTTTCTTGCTACATAATAAAATAGGTAAATTCACAACACATTCTTTTTTAAAAGTTACTTTATCTGAGTCATCTCCCTTTCTATCTGATTTATCTCCCCTTATGTGGCAAAGTTGGGGAAAAAAAATCAAACAAAAATATTCTGTTTACTTTAAAATACAGCCGTAAATATGATAAAACACATAATTTTCTATAGTTACACGAAAAGTCTTACACATGAATTACATACTACTCTCGAAATTTGCACATTTCATTAAAGATATAGACCGATTGTTATCTGCTATTTCAAAATCCAAGATGGAGGAAGACACCCCAGCTACCTTAAATGATTAATTTTGTTGATCAACATAATAAATTAATGACCAAAAAAATATATACTTACTTTCAAGATACCTCTTAGTTTAAGTTTAATGCAGAGTGATAGAGGGCTGTTTGTATGACAGAAGGAGCATTGACTGTTGACTGGCAGGACTAAAATGCAATAACAAACATACAGGGTGATTATTTTGTTGTAATTTTTAAGAACTCATACGAACCCTTCTTTGATACTTTTCAACAACAAGATGTCTTGTATGAATCTTATATGAATTCTTAAGCCCGGTTAAATATGATCCATTGAACAGAGCAGATTTAATTATGAGTTTAAACTAACCATGATGCCATGAACAAATGAAAATGTATAAGGATAAAATAAAATCCTCAGTTACTGATTTGAACCAAAGGTTAAAATATAAACAAGCAATGAATATAACAGGGGCTTTATGCAAGACCCTTGATGTGAATAAAAACAAAGGAATGGACAATATGGAAATAAAATTCTTATGAAGGCAGAATCTAACAGGTGCTTATTTTATTATTACTAATTATTATATTTGCAAAGGAATACTTTAATATTTCCATAATATTTCACATTATATACTTTGTGGGTAATTTTATGCAATCAATTATTTTGACTTTTAACCCACAAAGAAAATTGTTTTGTTTTATTTTGATAACAGAATTATGTAATTTATTGTAATCCATTGTATTATGGAAAAAAAAATCAAGACTGTTTTTTTTTTAGGAGTACTAAGAAAAAAATGCAAGAGAACAAAGACAAAGAACAAAAATTAATGCTGGTATGTTATAGAATTTAATTATTTTGGTGATGTAGAACAAATAACATGCATGACAATGCCAATAGCCCACCCTGTATCTGACTATTCTTGATTGAGTACATCTAAATTTGAAAAAAAAATCAAAGTTTTAGAAGAGCAAAAGAGGACTTGTGCATTTTTCAATATTTTTTTAATTTACATCTATAATATATTTCAAATAAATATGTACCCGGAAAGTTTTTGTTAAGTTTGGTCCAAAAAGGCAAAATTAATAAATTAACAATAAAATGCTGTACAATATTTTAGTAGATCAAAAATATACAAAACCAATCTGTATCAATGTTCGGACAAGATATTTGAATTTGGAATTCAAACCACATATGTCACCTGTAAAGGATTTTATATTCAAAATTTTAAAAGAAAACATTAGTTTAAAATTTTCAGTTGGAAACTGCTACAGTATATTATTCCTACAAAGCAGTTACTATTAAAATTGAAAATTTCTGAGGATAATAAATGTAATTTTTGTAAAACAGATGAAGAAGATTACTTGCACTTCTTTATTACTTGTTCATTTTTGAAAGATTTTTGGGAGAAAGTACACTTTTTTAGCCATGGCGTTGTCAGTTTATTTTCTACTTATGAGTTTGAATGTCCTTTGGTATCTTTCTCCTCTCTTCTATAACATTTTCCTGGATACTCAGAAAGCATTTCATAGGGATACTTCATTGGAGCCTGGACAGTGAGGTAAATTATAACAGGCAATCTGAAGACTAAAGAATATTTTTTTGTTGTTTAAAAAGAAAAGAAAATAAAAAAATTAAATGAACTTTGTGTTCAGATAAATTTACGTTTTTTGCCAATTTTATGCACTTTCTTTACATTTTTTCATCTATTTTGGAAGAAATTAATCAGTAATTTTGCAGAGGATATAATAGATCAATGCGTTTTTTTTTTTTCCGATTTTCAATTATAATTCAACAAGCCAAAGTTTATGCAAAATTTTACCAAAATCTGACTGTGACATAGCCCATGTAACTTGAACTTAATTATACAATGAAACATATTTAACTTGCATTTTTATCACTTTTATTTAGGGCTATTACAGAAATAAATATAAGGGGGGGGGGTTGGAAGGCACTTTTTTTTTTAATGCCCATGACCCATACAATTATATTTTTTGGGCGACCTGTAACCCATACAATTAAATAGAGGTTTGATACCACCACCTGTTTAATTAAAAAAAAAAGCGAAAGTCAATACAGTAGTATAAGAAATTGATTTGGTCTACTTAAAAACTAGTATATCTTTTGAGTATGTTTGTCTTAATGACTTTCAACACAACTATTGTAGAATTAGGATACTAAGCCTGAAAAATTTCAATCTTCAGATCTCCTTTTTTACTTTTATATACTTTATATCAAAATATAAAGGGTAGATTCCAACCGGGGTATGGGTTTTCCAACTTTGTAAAATGGTTATAAGTTTTCAAAACAAATATCCAGAAATCACCACTTTTGTGTAAAAATTCTCCTCCACCAAATTAACAAAAAAACCATGAAGTAGTTTACAAAGGCATTACAGGAACAGTATGTGTAAATCACAATATATACAATTCAAATAAAACTATGGGTATATTTTTCCTTTATCTTCATCAATCTTGCTGTGAAGGGTGCACATGCATTGTCGACTTAAAATTCATTGATGCCATACGCAAAACAGTGATAAGACCAACAGTAATCTATGAATGTTATATTATACTTTATATTGAATCTACATTTTATGGATTGATCCAGAAGTACATGTAGTACAGTGTTCTAGCTGGCTAGAAACTGAGGTTAGATGGGCACATTCCTATAAAAAGGGGACTTAGCGTAGCTATCATTTTTACAACAAATTTTTCTTTTAAATTGACAAATATAGATAGCCCCTTTATTCTTAACTTGACTTCCATCAGGCAGAGATATGTGAGGTTTCCAATGCCTTATATAAAATTCTTTTCCATTTCTCGCCTTACATAGATACAGCTAGATATTGAGATTTATATATTAAATTTTACATTAAGAGCTACACTTATTGGCACATGTGGTTAATTTTAGTTTTGTTTTTTTTTTTTATCTTTATTCAACAAGAGATATTTTCTTTTGATATCAATTGGTAACTTGATTATAATTACAATATTCAAATCTAAAATAATGGTCTACCAAGAAATTCTTTTTTTCAATAAATTGAACTTTTTTAAAACAAAAAAAATCAAAGCTGTACTTCTTTTCATTAAAATGACATTCTCTTGCAGTTGGAAGGTAAAATAAAATTGTTGTGTATTTCAATAATCAGTAAAAAAAAATTTAAAGAAAATCCACTTTAAAAAGAAATAACTCCACATAAAAAAATAAAAAAACATAAAAAAAATTTCGAAATTCATTCCTGTTTCATCGCCTTTTGTAAAGTTATTTTTTTGTTATTTATGTACAAAAGCTTTCAAATCTTAATAAGTTGATGTACAACCACCAATCTGATTAAGTTGTGGAGAAGAACAACTACCCACACAATTACATTTGCTCCAACCACCACCACTCATGCAAAAAAACATCAACTGCCCTCCAACCCTCCCATATATTTATTTCTGGAATAGCCCTTGTTTTTTTTAAAATTTTTAGATTATATAAAGTTATGTATTTTTTCAAAAAGAAAAATATGAGCTGCACAGGTAGGAATTTTTTTTCATGAAGAAGAAAATACAAAGAAGGAAGTTAGTACTGACAATAGGAAATTCAAAAATCATGAATAATCATTGATGTTTGAAAAATATATTATCTACTAAAAAGTTGGAGAGGCAAAACAGAGGTTTTTTTGTGTGCAGCTTACCAGAAAAGAACATCAAAATTTGCCTACATGTCACATAAATCATTAAAGAGACATATACTTTTACTGCATCTTATGTAGAATATATTATTAAGAAGGGATATAGTTACGATACTGTTGTCAGGTCATTAAAGATTGCATATTTTGGCTTTAATATTGATTCACTTATAGGGTCTTTGCATCGGAATTAAACATATTTATTATTCTAAAACCAGTTGTTGGCATGACACGGGTTATGTTCTTCTCATATATTTTATGATGGTATAATACTAAACCCCTAACAGGAGGGATTGTGCCTGATATTCATATGATGAAGACATAATCTTTCAATCAGTTTAATTGAGGTCTGGAGCTGGCATGTCAGTAACTGCTAGTAGTCTGTTGTTATTTATGTATTATTGTCATTTGTTTATTTTCTTTTGTTTCCTATTCTGACATTGGACTTGGACTTCTCTTAAACTGAGTTTTACTGTGCGTACTGTTGTACGTTTGTTTTTTCTACATTTGCTAGAGGTATAGGGGGAGGGTTGAGATCTCAAAAAACATGTTTAACCCCGCCGCATTTTTGCGCCTGTCCCAAGTCAGGAGCCTCTGGCCTTTGTTAGTCTTGTATCATTTTTAATTTTAGTTTCTTGTGTATAATTTGGAGTTTAGTATGATGTCTATTATCACTGAACTAGTATACATATTTGTTTAGGGGCCAGCTGAAGGACGCCTCCGGGTGCGGGAGTTTCTCGCTGCATTGAAGACCCATTGGTGGCCTTCGGCTGTTGTCTGCTCTATGGTCGGGTTGTTGTCTCTTTGACACATTCCCCATTTCCATTCTCAATTTTATATATCCAGTTTTGTTTCACATTTATTTATCAAAGGTATTTTTGTAGGTTACTATTCTATACAATATGAAAATAAGGAGATGAGGTATGATTGTAAATGAGACAACTTATAATCCAGCAAAGTTCAAATAAAGTGGATGTAAGCAATTATAGGCAACCGTATGGCCTTCAACAATGAGAAAACACCCATACCATATAGTCGGCTTAAAAGGCCCTGACATGAAAAATATGAAACAATTCAATTGAGAAAACTAACGGCCTAATTTATGAAAAAACAAATATGAAAGACATGAACCAACAACAACCACTGAACTACAGGCTCCTGACTTGGGACAGGCACATAAAGAATTTGGTGGGGTTAAACATGTTTGTGAGCGCTCAACCCTCCTCCTAACCTGGGACAGTGGAGTAACAGCACAACATAAGAACAAACTATAAAATTTAGTTGAAAAAGCCATTAAAACGTTTAATCCCGCTGCAAATGTTTGCACCTGTCCTAAGTCAGGAATCTGATTACAGTAGTTGTCGTCTGTCTATGTAGTTCATACCTGTTTATCCTTTCTTGTTTTTATATAGATTAGACCATTGGTTTTTCCGTTTGAATGGTTTTACACTAGTAATTTTTTGGGGCCCTATATAGCTTGCTGTTCGGTGTGAGCCAATGCTCCGTGTTGAAGGCCGTACCTTGACCTATAATGGTTTACTTTTATAAATTGTAGCTTGGATGGAGAGTTGTCTCATTGATACTCATACCACATCTTCCTATATCTATTAACTTATCAGATCGATACAAAGCAGAAAAACATTAAACATAAACACAGACCAGACGTGGCAGGGTATTTATCCATCCCTCATCCCTATCAACAAAAAGTACAGATCTAGAGTACTCGCAGTTACTGACAGCTAGTTCAAAGCCAATAACAGCTAATAAAAAAAATTAAAAAATTCATGTATCTAAGACTAAAATATCAATCAGTACACATCCAACATCCAATGGATTTAGTGTAAAGACGTCATTAACAGTCAGAGAAAAGCATGATGTTGTGCAATGCCAAAATGCCAAACGATCAACAGATTGTAGTACCGTTAAAGTGCATATGTGTATAACATATCGGTTTTACTCATTTTTGAAGGCCTAACTGTGAGTTGTTTACATTCTTTAGCATGGGTGATTGATGGATAGTTGTCCAGCACGTCTCTGTATTTTTATATTTTATAGTTTGCAGTTGTATATTACAATGCAGTATTATTTTTTTTTGAACTGATAATGCTAATGTTGTGTTTATACCATTTATCTTTAGTTACACAGAGAAAAAATGGAAAAACAAGGAGATAAAGGGGGACAAAACCAAAGAGATAAAAATATGTATAAACGATAGGAACATATGAAAAAGAAATCATCCCAACATATGTCAAAGGTAAAGTGAATGTGGAAAGACTGTGTTACAAAACTTTTGTTTATTTTCTGTTGTTATATTTGATAATAAAGGAATTAAGCATGCTCATTGTTTCAAACATCATAGCAAGGTCTGGAAACCCTCTTCCAAAATTACACTAGAAAACTTTACAGTAAAGTTTTTATATGCATCCAATAAATTTTCAACAATAAATATTTCTGGTGAGAGCTTGCAATGTATGTGGTAGAAACTTGTCAACAGTTGACGTCTGTATATTGACCTATACCATATGTGTCTTTTTAGTTATACCCCAAGGAACAAAGTTCTGTAGGGTATACTGTTTTTGACCCATCTGTCCAACCATAAATACATAACAGAGTTTCATGAAATTTTGTAGATAATAAGGACATACTATGTAAATGTGCATATCGACAGGAAATTGCGATTAAACTTATTGTCTAGGAGTTATGCCTCTTTGAACTTAGACCTGGCCTAAATATACTACTGCAACAGTTTGACATTGCAACTCCTCTGAAATTACACAACAGAATTTCATGAAATTTTGTAGTTAACGTGGACATACTATGAAGGTGTGCATATCCACAAGAAATTTTTATCAGTTGACTTTTGTAGGAGTTATGAGTCTTTGAACTTAGGAATCTGGTGAGATTTTGTTTGTCCAGTGACAATTTTGGGGCGTGGAATATGTGAGCACGCTCGCAAACGGTATTTAATTCATTAATTATGTAGTCAACTCATTCACATATGCCTCACACCTCCATTTGTTCACATATACATCAAAGCTTTATTTTTAGAAAATATGTTTGGCTTCCCTTAAAAAGTTAACAGTTTCCTGTGGGAAATTGAAGAAAAAAAATGGGAATGATGACCCCAATGTCATTCCTCCTATTGTATTTTGTAAAGTTTTAAAAAATATAGGCCATTTGATAATAATAATAATTATAATAACAATATTAATGATAATAACAATAATAATGATGATAATAAAAATAATAATCTGATATTAGTTTAAACCTTTGAACTACATGTAGTTACATTGGTTATTCCTTTTACACACATTTATATATCAGTAAATATTTGTGATATTTAATTCTATTTTCAATTGCCATCCCCTCAAGTTCTTTAAATTAGGGAGAAGCTGAAGGGGATTAAAGACCTGTATCTAAAATTAATCTCATTGTTCTTTTATGAAATTTCAATATTCTTGTTTCTTCATTTTTAAATTCTCCCTAAACAATACAACAGAAGTCAATAGAAGTATAGAACCATGAGGAACACCAACTTTAGTGGTGTAATTGTTCAGAATAAACATTGCAAATGATGATTAGTTAACTGTCAAGTGACTCACTGATATTCCGGGGCGTTTTTGGCCGAGTGGCCTAAGAAGTAGAACTATTGTATCACTAGTCTGTCAACACTTAGCTGGGTTGTGAGTTTAAATCCCTCATGTGGCAGGTGCGATTGACTCCAATCTTAATTGACTAGGATAGTAAGTTTTCCTACCGGAGGTTGTTGGTTCTCTCTGGCCACTCCAGCTTCCTCCACAAATAAAAACTCCTGCCACAAAATAGGACAAAAGTGCTGAAAGCGGCGTTTAGCATCCATCAATCAATCAATTACTGATATTCCAATTTTGACAATTGATATTGTATACTATATAAATAACACACAGCTGAGAGGATGATAGAGCAGATTGTTACCCCGAGAAAACATTATCAACTGAGGCGAAGCCAAGGTTGACAATGTCTTTTTGAGGGGTAACAATCTGTTCTAACACCATCTTAGATATGTGTTATTTAATTTATTATACTGAATGTTCTGTTATTACTGTCTATTAATTTCCAAATTCAAAGTTATAAACTATGACCTCTTGTACATACCAACCATCCTTATATGATAAAGAGCACACTTGATGAAGCATCTCTGTGAAGGGTAATAGAGTATTTCCATAGGATAGAGTAAATTATCTCCTTCGTAATAAAATAGAATGTCTTATGTATAATAAGTTGTGGGGTCAATTTTCCGTGGTAGGGGTTCAAAATACAATTACTAAGAAAAATTGCTTTGACATGATTGACCTCAGTAAAACCAATTTAATCTCACCTCATTTTGTGCTGTGCAAAGTCAGACTATCTATGTTATTCTGTGTTGGTCTTTGTTTGTACATCTGGTTAATTTTGAGGACTCAGGTGTTAGTGGCTTATTTGGCCTGTTGTCCTGTCCAATATTTTGGGAATTCCTGTTATCCTTTTTATATATTAGGGGACGACCATTTGATATTCTGGGGGGGCCAGGAGGATTTTGAAAATAAATAACTCAGCCTTGATAATCACAAAAATAAATGGTTTGTTCTGTGGTAGTTTGAAAATAAATTACCTGACTTGCAATGTATTGAAAATAAATAACTCAGCAGGTCTAATCGAAAGTATGAGATGGCACCAGATTCTTCATAAATTCATCTTTTTTCCAAAAAAAAAATCGGGAAACACTTCCCATATCTTTTAATAATAAAAGTATAAATATTATTTAAATATACTTGAAATGTCAGAAAATTGGTTTCATTTAACTTGAGGTTAATTGTCTCAGGAACACTTACCTCACTTTTATTAAACCAGAGCCGTAACTACATTGAGACAAATGCCTCATGTAGGAAATTTCAAAACCAAACGCTTGTCTCCATATCAAATTGTGTTCACCGTGAGTGCCTTGCAAGAAGCAAGTTCTGTTCTCCCTCAGACGTAGCCCCTAACTTTTCGGGATCAATGTTTCTTATTTATTTGTATTTTGTTCATTGATTGCCCTTCTGTATTCTATTAGTGTCGCATTCATTTTGTAATTTAGTAATTTTATTATTAACTTGATCATGAGTTTAAAAAAACACAGCAGCCACAGACTTAATTATGTGAATTACATTTTTGCTTTTAATATCATGCATATTTGTCTTTTGATGTTGTTCCTAGAAACTTAAGTCTTACACTGAATCTATAACGTGATTTTGCTTTGAGACCAAAATATTGTCATAAAATTATTAAAACAGAACTTGCATTTTCAGTTTAAGAAAGGGTCTGGGGAACACCAGAAGGCATGATTTTGCATCATTTGTTCTATAGCTTTTTGGGCCTTCAGCGGTTCAAAAATCCTTCAAAAAAAATTTTGCCTCGCTCTGCTCGGCGAAACATGTTTACCAATACTTTTAAAAGAGCCTTAGTTACAACCAAACTTTAATACTGTGTATGTATGCAGTACATGTATATGCATTGGGGGATATAGAAGATTCATTTCTGCAGAGGATAATAATTAATTCTGATTAAATGGTACATAATGACTTGACTATACATGAATTATTTATAATAAACAAATAATTTAAAAATTGTATGTTTTCCAATATTATAAATATAGTTGTGAAAATAAATAATCAGTCCCTTGCTTTAATGAAAATGAAAAATCTTGCTTCAATAGTGCAGAAAATAGATAATCTGTCCTCTTAGTTTACAAAAATAAATAACCGATCCAAAACAAATCCTCCTGCCCCCCCCCCCCCCCCCCCCCCCAGAATATCAAATGGTTGTCCCCTTATACAGTACTAAAACTTACAAAAATACACAACTGGAGCTGCAAAGAAATGATTTATGCCATAAGTTGGCATTTTTATATTCGTATTGAAGGTAAAGTATATTGCCAAGTGACTATTGATGTCTCTTACTGCACAATTATTCTTTTGATTTATGAATAATATTTTTTTTTGCAATAGTTCATAAAGACCCTTGGTAGGTATTTTTTACAGATATTTCAGTCAACTATCCAGATTTTCCAAAACATGAAAAACGAAATTTTCCCACCTCAACTGACAGTGTTAGGTGTCCTTTTTTGCCACATTATGATCAAGTTGAAGATCCCTTTCAATTTTTGCAGTTAATAGACCAAAGGTCAAGGTCATATCATCAATCTATATACTAAAATTGGGCAAAATTTTGGTTTCCGGATGTTATCTTTTGAACTTTATATCCAGCTTTCATCAAACTTGGATTGGTGAACACCACAGGTTGGAAAATATCCCTATGAATTTAGGGTCAATAGGCCAAAGGTCAAGGTCATAGCAGCTATTAATTTAATGAAATTTTGACAAATTTTGGTTTCCAGATGTTATCTTTTTAAGCATAAGTCCATGGAATGATAAAGATCTCTATTGATTTTGAAATCAGTAGGTTAAATGTCTAGGTTACAGCAGCCATTGATAGACTGAAATTGAGGTAAAAAAATCTGGTTATAGATGACATATTTTAAAGTATATGTTCAACATTCACAAAAATTTGCTTGAAAATATCCCTTGAAAAGAACAGAGTATTGATTTTTTTGGAGTCTGTATTTTTAAAGGTGGCAGTACCTATAAATGGAGTTCATTGTGCTCTACACAAAAAACGTTTCTTTTACTACAAATGCATACGATAGCAACTTGGCCTACATCTTAATAAAATTCTTTAAAACAGTATTAGATTCAAAAATTTAATATACTATATTTACTTTTATTTTATTTTTTGTGACTTTATTTCCTGTGACTTTTTTTTCGTGACTTTTTTTCCTGTGACTTTTTCTATAAACCAATTGTGCTTTTGTATCTAAAAAGCAACACCTATGTCTCGCCTTCCGCAACCTTCGTCGCAGGAAAAAACCCGGGGGTGATCTAATGTGCTCCAGAAGGGTAATGATATCCTGCTCTACATGTTACACCCGTGTTTTTTTACAAATTTGGGGATGGGTCTCATTTGGTGATGTCACATTCGAGGAAAAGAGGATGGGATTGTGGTTACAACAATTGGAACATATCAATCTTCATCTGTGAAATAGATATTTCATAACGGTCAAATAACTCGTGATTGCGTTTGTAAAATTGTTGAAGGAATCACTTCAAATTCACTACTTGGAATCCTTAGTTGAATAGCTTCCTTGTCGGCAGCAACCCTCTATCAAGGAAATCACGAAAGGAAACACAAGCTCTGGAA